AATAATTGACTTGTGCATTGATTCAGCTACTATAAAATATCTTTTGTAATTGGATTCTTTGGAATTTTTAGTGTAGATCATATCATGTGCAAATAATGACAGCTATATATTTAATCTTTTCTAAACATAATTCCTTTAATTCCTTTTTATTTTATTGCTAGGACCACTAATATCACTTTACATGTGATAATGGTCATCCTTGTCTCATTTAGAATTTTAAAAGTGTTAATAATCACAATATAGGCAGGTCACAGGGAAGGCAGTACGTCATGGAGAAGACAATGACTAGCATCTTACTACAGACAGCTGATAGTGACTGCAATAGAGGGGGTGAGGACTTGAGAATATGGGTGAATGCTGAAACCACTGTTGTTTATATGAAACCATAAGATTGTATATCAGTGATAGTTTAATAAATGATAACAAATAAAGAAGTGCTAATAATTCCCATTTAGGCTGATGCTTACTTTGTGTTTATAGATAACCTTTCTCAGATTAATTACATTATATTCCTAGTTTTATCACTAGTTTATGTTGAACTTTATCAGATGCTTTTTCTGTATCTTTTGAATTGATCCGAAGGTTTTTCTACTTTTACCTATTAATGGGATTAATTGTATATATTTTGTAACAGTAAACCATCTTCATATTTCTAGGATAAACTCAATTTGCTCATGGTATAGTCTTAAAAAATTCAAAGCTTTTACTGGCATATAATGCATTTTTTAACATGCTGTTGGGTTAATTGTAGGAGTTTTTATATTTTAAAGGAATTATCTATATTCATGAGTGAACTCAATCATAAGGTTCCTCATATACAGTCCTTACATGGTTTTAGTATCCGGGTTATACTGGCCTCAGAATGAGGAAGGTGGGGAAGATTTCATTTTTATATTTGTTTTTATAAGATTGAGATGCTTTTTTCCTTGAATGTCTATAAATTTTGTCATGGTATTTGTGGTTATATTTAACTATAGTTACAGAATTATTTAAGCTTTCATGTTTCTTGAGTCAGCAGTTAAGGTTTATTAGAACTAGTCAATTTTGTGAACATTTTCAAATCCTCAGGCCGTGGATGACTAACCAAAGACCTTATCCATCAAAGCCCATCACAGATGTCACCTCTTCTGTGAAGTCGTAATTGCTTTCCCCCAAATAACCACAGGATTTTATATAATCAGAGCCTGGGTCTCTGATTAGTTCGTTTTTGTGCAGGGGAACTGAGTCTCAGTTTACATCCACGCAAGGACAGTACTTGCTTATTAACTATATGGTAGCAGTTGGCAAACTACATCTCTTAGTCGTGGGCACTACTTACACGCTCTCACCCTTGCCACACGTCAGTGATTGTGGAGTCACTTTACACCGTCTAGTTTTGTACCTGATCTTTAGTCTCAGCACTTAATTCCAAAAAAAAAAAGTGAATATGCCAAGCTGGGAATTTAGGAGGATTGATACTGAACCCTGACCAGTATCAGAGATAAAGGTAGGTCTTTCATGGGAAAGAGTATTTGAGAGACAATAAGCAACAAACAGGTTCTTAACGGCATTCCTTCTCTCTCTTCCAGGCAGTAGAACGAGTCCTGTACCCACACCTGTCCACTTACTGGACAAATTTGCAGGCTGTGCTAGATGATTATTCAGTATCTAATGCCCAGGTTAAGGCAGATGGGCACAAAGTCTATGGAGCCATTCTGGTGAGTGCCAGCCCCTTCCAGCCTCCCTTCCCTGCATGAGCTCAGCTGGCTTACTTTAGAACACTTGATGGGCCCATGTTCTTCAGTTCTTGTGTGTCCTAGTCCCTCTGCTCTTACAGGTGGCCGTAGAACGACTGCTGAAGATGAAGGCCCAGGCAGCAGAGCCCAGTAAGGACGGCCCAGGCCGTAGGGGGTGCCGGCGCTCAGACGAGCTGCCCTGGGACAGCCTTCTCCTGCAGGACTCTCCTGCTGGGGGCAGTGCAGAGGCAGGCTTTGGGTCTGGCCTCCCGCTGCCGCCAGGAGGCGCGGGGCCGGAGGATCCCTCCCCTTCGGTGACCCTGGCGGACATCTACCGGGAGCTCTACGCCTTCTTCGGTGACAGCTTGGCCACCCGCTTCGGCACGGGGCAGCCCGCTCCCACGACCCCTCGGCCGCCCGGGGACAAGAAGGAGCCGGCCGCCGCCCCGGACTCGGTGCGGAAGATGCCGCAGCTAACGGCAAACGCCATGGTCAGCCCGCAGGGGGACGAGAGCCCCAGAGGCGGAGGCCCCACGTCGGCTTCAGCGTCTGCAGCCTCTGAGAGCAGGCCGCTGCCGCGCGTGCACCGGGCACGGGGGGCGCCCCGGCAGCAGGGCCCCGGCGCTGGCACCCGCGACGTCTTCCAGAAGAGCCGCTTCGCCCCGCGCGGCGCCCCGCACTTCCGATTTATTATCGCCGGGCGGCAGGCCGGGAGACGGTGCCGTGGGCGCCTCTTCCAGACTGCGTTCCCCGCGCCGTACGGGCCCAGCCCGGCCTCCCGCTACGTGCAGAAGCTGCCGATGATCGGCCGCACCGGCCGCCCTGCCCGCCGCTGGGCGCTCTCAGACTACTCGCTGTACCTGCCGCTCTGAAGCGGCTCTCGCCCAGCCCTGCGAATAAAGCCCGTGCTCGGAAGTGACGTGTCCGAACTCGTGAGTTGCGCCGGACGGGGTGGGGCTTCAGCGGTTGGTTGCTTCGGCGGCGCTTTCAGGTGGGGAGAGCGCGATGGCGCTGTCCTGGCTGCAGCGTTTTGAACTTGTGGTCTTCCAAGCCGCCTTCCTGTGCGGCGCAGTGACGGCTGCGACGCTGACCCGGATCCAGGTGTGACTGCGGGGCGGGGCCAGCCTTGGGGTCGAGCCGAGTAGGCGGTGTGCTGCCGATCCCGACGCGGAGAGATCATTGTTTTCCCGGTCGGCAGGCTTCGGCGCGCCGCCGCTTGGAGCCGGTGGGCCGGGTGACGGTCGGCGGGCACTGGTGCGTGGCGTAGAGGAATCGCTTCGGTTGCGCTGTGTGGCTCTGTCTGCTCAGGTCATACTTCATTCCCTCAACGCCTTAACAGCACCAGACAGTCTGGCCTAGAGATCCTGCTGCATAATCTTGTCCTTGTTCTGAAAGAGAAGTCGGCCCAAGTCCTGCATTGATCCTTCAAATCAGTGTTGTGCTGAGTTAGTCCAAGAAATAAAGCATAGTGTGGTGGGAGTGATCAGGCTACCATATGACTGATTGTAACACATTGTGTTAGATGACAAAATAGCCAAGTAGGAAACGCAGCCCAAGCTAATAGTTTACATTTGAGTGTTTAGCCGGACAATCAATAAACATAGGCTAACAATCCATATAAATTGGACTCTTATGCCTATTATACAGATGATAAAATATTGGAGATAGCTGAAGATGACAAGTTCTGGTTTCACTGTAGTACTGGTGCAGAAGGGGAACATGACTTGTGAGGCATCTTTCAAGCTCACTGTTTTATAACCACCGTCTATTTCCTGATCCTCCTGGCCATTACAGGTTTGATTTTCCCAGCAGGCCCTCTACATCAGTCTACAGGCCAGAAACAGGAACTGACAGTGCACAAATAACTTCCTAGGGTGGCCACGCTTAGATCATCTGCTAACACCCACCATAAACCTTTACCCGGAGGTACTAACCTGAGACCTGGGACTCAGCAGCTTCTCTCCACAGGGCTCCTTCAGTGGCAGCTGCCCCCTGTATGGTGTGGCTGCCAAGAATGGCTCCTCCCTGGCCTTATCCCGACCCTCAGCCCCATCCCTCTGCTACTTTGTGGCTGGAGTCCCTGGCCTCTTGGCCCTTTACTGTCTCCTGAGTGTGCTCTTCTGGATCTACAGCAGCTGCATCGAGGACTCCCACAGGTGACTGTTCCACTCTGAGGGCCGGAGGCTAAGGGGAGGCGGAGTCCCATCTCAGCCACAAGGCTTGTTCTCTCCCTCCTTACAGAGGACCAATAGGACTCCGCGTTGCACTGGCCATCTCAGCTATAGCCACTTTCCTGGTCTTAGTGTCTGCCTGTATCCTGCGATTTGGCACCAGTTCTCTCTGCAAATCCATCGTCTCTGTGAACATTACAAATAGGTAAAGGGAAAGGGAAGGAAGCCTGGCTGGGGCTATCTTCCATCAAGCAGAGGGGATCCTGTAACCCTCCTTTTTATCCCTGTTGAGTTCTTATCTTGAAGGGCACCTGTGCACAAGTGTTTGGGGTATATCCCCACTTTCTCACAACTGTCTCTTTGACCTCACACAGCTGCTCTGAAGCCCAGAAAATTCCATGGACACCACCTGGAACCGCTTTGCAGTTTTACTCCAACCTACACAATGCTGAAGTGAGGTCCTGGGATATGAGACTGGGTGGAGACCCAGCGATAGGTTCACACAAGCATCTGTAGTTGTAAGGGTGGCCACCAGTTCTGAACTTCGCCCTACAGTGAGGCTGAGAGGAGTCGGAGGGCTTGTCAGCCTGACGGCAAACATAGTGATATGTGGGTGGGTGGAACTGGACTTGAGATGGCCCCATTCCTCACACACTTGTTCCTGTCTCCCACAGACCTCTTCGTGGGTGAATCTGGGATTGTGGTGTGTGGTGTTGGTGCTCCAGGTTGTGCAGTGGAAGTCTGAAGTGGCCCCATGCTGGCCTTTGGAGAGGGGGCACCCTGCACGGAGCTCTGAGGCAGACAGTCTCGTTGGGCCACGCCTTTCCTATTCCTGAGGAACAACCAAAGAGTGCTTGCTTTCCGCAGCCAAAGACTCTGCCATCTACCTGCTCCCACATGGCCCCGTTTCTGCTGGGAGCCTCATTTTCCCTCCACGAGGGAAACGTGATGACAGGCCCCCTATACCTCTCTACAGCCTTTTTTATACCAGTATATTATATTACGTTCTTCCTTCATTTTAGTACTAAGTTCTTGGTGTTAAAGCACAGTAGGTGGGGTGGGTGGGAGAAAGAAGTGAAAGCTACACAGATACGAATTGAAACTGTCAGATAGCTGCCCTTGGAATGACTGCTCTTTTATTTGCTGCTAATAAATCTTGGGCCCCCTTGTGTCACCCTGGTTGTCCCTCTATCCCTGAGGTTTAGTTTTTATTCCTCTCTGGGAGGGGTGAGTGACTGGTGGCTTCTTCACAAGCTACGGTAGGCACCCACAGTGTTGTCAAAGAGTTTCATGTTGGGAAAATGTCCAGCTTTGTCCAAGAGAAAGTAGAAGCGCCAGCCTTTGACCTTCAGAGGCAACATGGCAGGGACTTCACCACGGTGGGCCATGCAGGATACCTGGTTCAAAGGAACAGTGAAATGGGCACCCAAGCCAAAGGGGGCATGAGTGCTGAAGGTCACCTGCTTCCCTCCGGCCAGCAGCATCACTGAACGCACAGAGCGGAGGGAGAAGAGAAGACCAGCACCAAGTACCAGGGTACCTGCAGGAAGCGCAAAGATGGGGATGAGGGGTTTTCACTGGAGAGCTAAGCAGAAGCCTTTCCGGTGCCCCCTGAATAAAACAATTGTGATGACAGTGACATTTATTGAGCTCCTCTTACACCCCAGAATCTTGTTACACCTCCCAACAACCTGACTACATGTCCGTCCCTATTTTCAAGACGAGAAAACAGGCCCCCCGTTTCAGTAATTTGCTCAAGGTCACAGAGTGAGAGGCGGACCTCAGCCCAGTCCGTCCGCAGGCTTGGTGCTCAAGGCCTTCCAACTCGTGTTCCCGGAATTCTGCGGGGGTGGCCTGCTCACCCAGGTGGGTCGGAGCCCCTTACTCTTCTTACCTGCGCAGAGAGGGTCTTGGCCAGCCATCCCAGCCACCCCACGTCCCCGTGGTGGGGAGCCAGTCCACGCCTTACCGATGGAGCCACAGCCGATGGCCAGGCAGTAGCGCCAGAGCGCGGAGCGCACGTCCGAGCGGCCGCGGTCTGGGAGTTCCGCGTCCGCAGGCCGCGCCGGGACCGGGGGTCGGGCCAAGGCTGCCACGGCCAGGGAGGCCCAGAAGACGCCCTGGCCCGCGCAGAACAGCCAAAGAACGGCAAAGAAGCGGCCCCGTTCGTGCTCGAAGAGCAGAACATCCCGCAGCGGGGTCGCGTCGTGCAGAGGCCGGCGGCCGGGCAGGGTCCTCAGCGCGAGCAGCCCAGCGGGCCACCGCAGCCTGGAGGCCGCCATGGTGCGCGCGGCCCCGCCCCGGGGCGGGACTTCTTGCGGCCTGGCCGGCCCCGCCCCCGCCCCGCCCCCACCCCTCGGAGGACTGCAGAGCGGCTAGGCAGCCGCAGCCCCGCCCGCGAGCCCGGGGGCGCCAGGGTAAAACCCGTCTAGTCAGCACGACACAAAATACAATTAACACTCTTTATCTTAAAAAGTAGGGAGGGCTCCGGGGTCCTTCGGGGAGTTTAGTGTCAGTTCTACAAATAAGCTTTGGCTTCCGGGCACCAGTGAGGCTCAATCATCTGGAACCCTTCCAGACGTCTTCCAGAAGTCAGGTGGGGTGAAGCATCCAGAAGCCCTCCCTCCTCGGTCACAGTCGCAGGGTGGCCTTGGGCCGGAGAGGAGGAGAGGACAACCATGCCAAGGAGATTTGAGTATCTAAGGGCTATTTTACAGGGGGCTTCCTCTGGAGCATGACTGTGGATCACTTCAGGAACGCTATTTCTGGGATCTCGCCCTTGGCCTTAGAGAAAAATTAAAGGTTAGTAGAGCCAGGTCCCTCCGGTCTTCCATCCTCATACCCCTAACAACCTGCCCTTTGCCCTTGACCCTCTGAAAGGTCCAGATCCCTTTTTGCCATTGAATTCCCAAACCTCACCTTGAGATGAGTGAAGGCCTGGGCAGATGTGGTATAGTCCCAGTTATTGTCCTGAAGGCACCTGTAATGGGAAGAACAGGCACCTCCATTAGAAGCAAAATGCAGTCATGCTGACCCCTAAAAGCCACTTCAAAATCTATTCTATAGTAACCCTCACCCAAGTTCGCTAACAATTATAGACATTCTTGCACTATCTATATAAACAAAAAAAGCAGAAATCCAAATGTCCATCAGTGGTCTAGCGACTACAAAGGAGTATTGAATCATTATCAAGACTAGTAATTCTTATTGTGATAAAGATATTCATGGGTAAGTGAAAAAATTTAAGTTGTAGAACAGTATATAAAAAGGGACTTTATTTTTGCCTTTTTAAAAATTTTGTTATGCTAATTTGTGCACACAGAAAATCCTTTTGTGGACCATCTCCTTTTTTAAGCAATAAAACCTTTCTGCTTTTATAATTTGGGGAGCCCTCAATACTCACTACCAGCCCTACCTCAGTTTACTTTACTCCTTACACACACCCAGCACTCACTTCTGGGACCACTCGAGGTTCATGCCAGACTGGGTAGAGAATGCCTGCAGCATTTCCTGCTGCTCTGGAGAGAGGGTGGGCACTGGGCTGGAGGAAGGCGTGGGGGCAGGCATGGCGAAGGCTCTTTGGATCTCATCAGGGCTGGCATTCCGCACAAACAGCTCGTCGTTTACAATACACAGCCTTGGGGACAAAAAGCACCTTAGACAGCAGGATAACCTCATCTTCCCAACATTAACCCTATTCTAATAGAAGACACTCAGATTCTTTTGCTACCCAGAAAGTTCCCTCCCACTCTCAGCCATGACTTTTTATCATTTACCCCCTTTCCCATGGACTCTGTGTATGGGGTTATCAGAAGCAATAGAAATCTCCCCCAAACCATGATAGTTCGTAATCCCCATTTATCTCACAATAAACTTAGGAAGTGAATATCGTTATACCAGTGTAAGGCGAGGACACTTGCCCTTAGCTGGAAGTGATGGAGCCAGGATGAAAAACCCAGTCAGACTCCAGAGCCAAGCTCATCACCACCCTGTGAGCCTCCGCCCGACTCCCCCTTGCCTTTCTGAAACTCTGAAAATACCCAGAGGACTGACTCTACCACCACCACCACCCATTCCCAGAGGGCTGGCCATGGTTTGGGCCTGGTGAGCCAAATATTTACCCTGAACTGCTGGCAGGAACAGCGACAAATGTCCGGGTGAAGGCTCGTAAGGAATCCCGGGACTTTCCATCCACTGCAAAGATGGAATGGCAATGACCCTGAGAGTCACCCATGCTTTAAGTTTACAAAGTTTCTCAAATCATGGTCTTACCTGATACAAAGTACCCTAAGTGGACCAGACTGGGAGGATTATGTTTTTACAGGGGAGCAGAGGTGGGGAGGAATGTCAGAGGCCAGGGAGGACAACAATAACCACCATCACCCCACTGACAAGAGTATTCAAGGGCCAGGCCTCATGTCAAGCACTGTGTAAGTCTCTTCATTATGTGCTCCCCACAGCACCGCTAACAGCTACTACCAACTCCCTTTTACAGACAGACCATCTGAGGCTTAGAGGTGATGTAAATTGCCCAGAGACACACAAGACCAAGGTTGGGACTGGAAGCTCAGACCTGTCTGACTCCAAAATCTATGTCTTCCTAACCCTCAGGCTTTTCCCACATCCCCAGACAGGAAAGACAGGTGGAGAGGGTAGGCCAAATGCAGACGGCTTGGGGGCAGAAGGGGAGAAGGTCAAAGAAGAAGAGGGAGAGAAGGTAGGTGGGCAGGCTGAGAGTGCTGAGAAACACTTGCTGCGGGAGGGACCACTCTGTGAACTTAGGACTCCCAAGATTCTTACCTTCCTTGAAGACCCCATTGACAGAAAAACACAACAACGTGCTCTGTAAAAGAAGCACTCTCAGTTACCACGTGGGCTCCCAGTTAGCCTGAGTCCCCCCGGCCACCCTCACCCTGGCTCTGAACTACCCCTCCTCCAATTCCAGGCTTCCATCAAGGAACAAATAGGCGCTTACTGTCTGGGCGCTTATGTCTACCACGAAGGAATTGATGTCGTGCTGGGTCTTGGGCAGTTCATTGAGAAAGGCCACAACGTTGAGACGCGTGTGCTTCAGCAGCCGGAAGCGCAAGGCTGTGGGCGGAGAAGACCCTAAGCTTAGGGGCGGGGCGGCCGTGTGCTCCTGCGCCCTGTGCCATTCTTTCCCAGTCCCTTCTCCCATGCTGTGTTTGTTCACATCACACACTTACTCGGGTCTTTAAGCTTCTTCACATTCCTGCTATCTTTGAAATATTCAGCCAAGGTGCTTCTGGGGGAGTAAGAGGAAAAGGAGGCGGTGGTCAGAGCAGCAGGGGTGCTAGCAGGTGCTGGCCTTACCTGCTGAGGACCTCTGGCCCTGGGCAGGTTCTGGGAGGTGACACTCACCGGGCGGGGTTCTGTGGCGTGAAAGGAATGCTCAGGGAGCAGCAGGCCGCATCGTGGTAGGCGTCCAGGAGCCGCTGCCGGTCCCCAGAGTCATAAACGGTATAGAACCTGCGGGAAGAGCAGAAGTGAAAGCCTGACCTCCAGGGTCTAGACCCACAAAGAGCTCCATCAGCTCCCAAGAGTGACCTGTACAGGGGCTGGCACCCGTCTCTGTAGCCTTGGGGGACCTGGGGGACTTACTGCTGCAGGAAGTGCAGGACCAGATTCTTCAGGGTCTCTGTTCCAAAGTAGCTTCCCTGGAACCAAACAGATATTAGGACATATAACCAATACTCTCCTTCCAACACAAGTTCTACCTCTATCCCCTTTTTCACCTTGCAAGGTGGTAACGTTGTGGGGGCTTCAACATCAAAGGAAATTGGCGGTGGTAACTCGTGACCATCCTGCAGAAAACAAGTAAGGTGACAGTGTAAACCAGAGAAAAAGGCTGATGAGTTGTCAGATGGCAGATTGAAAAGTGAGGGGCCAGAGATCAGTGTAAAAGAGACATGGAAAGGGTCCAGGAATCCTGATAGAAACAATTTTCGTCTATAGGCATTTTTTCGGGAAGAAGGGATACAGCCTTTGTCAGATTCTCAGAGGGCTCCCTGACCCCAAATTAATGGTCATACAAACACACGTTAGGTAACACCTCCGGGGTGTGAGAAGCTGTGCTTGTTGGAAGGGAATAAGAAAAGTGATGGACTTACCAGGCGTAGTAGTTTGGGAAATCGTTCTCGAATGGCGCTGTCAAGAACAGGACAGAAGTGAGTAACGCTTCAGAGCCACCGTGCCTCCTGGGCTACTCTAGGAGCGAGTATGCTAACTCTCGCGGGACAGCCCAGCCCATCCTGCTCATCCTCACCCCTCCCCAGCCTCTGAGCTCCAGGAAAAATGGCCCCACTCCCCACCTCACCTGGGGCACCCAGAAATGACTGCCTTGAAGGCGGACTCTTCTCTCTGCCTGACCCTGAGCGCCGCGGGAGCAGCACTCGCAGCCTGGGCTCTAAGCCAGGCCCTCCTTCCCCTCCCTGCCCCCCTTACCTTCCACCTACTCACCTGTGCAGCCCCGGGAGGAGGGAATGGGGTGGGAGCCCAGGGGCTCCGCTGCCTCAACAGGTATCCATCAGTTCTGCCAGGTCTGGCCATGGCCAAGACCAGAACACACCACAGGGATGGCACAGGTGTTGGGGCAGGGAGATGAGTGAGGCGGGGCTCAGAAGAGCACAGGCAAAGGAAGAGAGGTAGGGAAAGAGGAGAAAGAGAAAAGGCAGAATAGGGCAGGGGCAAGGGAGAGATGGGATGGGGCATACAGAGAACATAAAGGAAAGAGGAAGCATAGAAGCAAAAGGCCTACAAGGCAAGGAGGCGTTTAGAGAGCAGGAGAAAAAGGGAAGAAGGCCTCCCGACACAGCCCTTTCCTTCAGCTGCCCTCTCCCCTGTGGTCCAAGGTAGAAGCAGGAAACAAATCTTTGTGCAACGAGGGAGCAGTTGCTGTTGGCCAGGTCTCTGCCTGCTACCTGGGTCCCGATCTGAGCTGGGCGTGGGCAGCGATGCAGCCATGGGGCCAGGAGACCTCCCTCAGAAGTGGTGAAGGTTCAGGCCCCTGCAAGGTTGGGGGGGTGAGGGTCTGTGCCCCACCTCTGTTGGCCCCCAAGTTGTCTCCTGATGGCCCCTCTGCGACTGTGCCTGTCTTAGGTTGTTCCTTCCCTGAGGAATCTTACCCGTCTCTGGCTAACCAGCCATCCTCTGGGGCCAAGCAGGGTGATGTGAGGCAGGCGAGAGAAGAGTGGCATCCCCGAGAGGGTCCATTCTCTGTCTCCTTGGTTGCCTATGCCCCCGTGGCCTCCACGCCCAGCACCTGCCTTGGGATTCCCTCGCCTACTGGCGGGGCCCCGGCTCTGGTCACATGTCTTAGGGAACCCAGGTTTCTTCTTCAGGGAGCGCCCAGCTTATAGCACTGGACAAGAGAGACAGATGGCATGGCACCAGCCCCCATGAGGCCTCAGCATGGGCAGGAAAGCCTAGCCATAGCCTTGGGCAAGTGGACTATGAGAAGAGAGTCCCTCTTGGCAAAAGTACAAGAGGGGCCATTACAGGACAAAAGAGGGAAGGTGCCATCAGCAGAAGTCCCAGGGAGGGAGGGAGGACTCTTTCAGCCCAGGGACACCAGGCTCTTGGTACAAGGCAACTCCATGTAAGGGGCATATATAAGACACCCTCTGGTCACAGTAGACAATGGGAGATGCCCTTCCTGGACCAAAGGGTAGGGAGATTCTAGAAAAGGCTGTGTTCAGGGAAGAAGAAGAAAGGCCACAGACCCAGTAAACAGGTAGGTGAGAAGGTTGGAAAGGAGACCTCAGGGCAAAGCTGGGAGACACAGACAGACGAAAGGGAGGAGCATGTGATCCTCCCAAAGGACAGGTGCCTCCAGCTCAGGGCTGCACATTTCCTGCAGACGGGCACTGGTCAGGGTGCACTAGCTCAGCCTCCCAGGGGGTGAAGGTCCCCAGGAGGGGAGACAGAGGCTCCAACTGACCTGATGTAAGCGGACTGGTCTCGGAAGGTGTCACACATGGTGTTTCCGTCGAGACACAGCTCTTCCAACTTCAACCCTTTTATCTTGTCCAACTCCCGCTCTGACTTCAGCTGCAAAGGATGGGGAGAAAAGGAGTGAAGGAGACAGGGAAGACAACCAGCTAGCTCCTGTCTCTTCAGACACCTCCTTGCCTCTTGCCATCAGCAGGCAAGCCCTGTCCACCCTTTGCCTGCCCCACCCAAAGAACAACCCAGCTCTCAGATCTCACTTCATTTTCAGAGAGGTTTAAGATCTTCAGGTTGGGTGCTTTTTGCACAATGCTGGACATGTCATCCAGCCTGTATAGCCTGTTGTTGCTCAAATTCAAGGACAATAGCTGTGGAGAGAAGAATTTAGAGGAACTACCGTCAGCAAGGGGATTGGGGCTAAATCTGCCTCAAAACCCAGTGCCATCTGTCCTGCTTCCTCCCGCCGGATAATGAGACAAAAGGCCTCACCTCAGGGATGTTCTCTTCAATGATTCGCAGGGTAGCCACCATACAGCTCCTCCGATTCAGGACAACATCAATGTTCTGGGCCACCAAGTCTTCGGGAAACAGCGAAGAAAAGGAAGTCTGAGAGGGCTCTGCCCAGGCCAGCATAGCACCAAACCATTCAGGAACTCTCCCTGCCAAACAGATATCCCTTTGCCTCTACCCGCTGAGACTTACTGCTGTCAACATACCTGGGTCTGAACGGAGGCCCTTGAGGTCCAGAGCCTGTTGGGAGCCATCGTATCGTTTGCTCATGATGAGCTGCAGGGGAAGAAAAAGGGCTTAGTGGTCCCTGGTGCTGTGTGCATGCTGCAGGGGAGAGAGCTGGTAGGACTGGCATAGAAACATGTTATTTGAGCTTGCCTCACCTTTAGCTGTTCTACTTGTTCAGGCTTCAGTTCATTCTGTATAGAATGGGGTGGAGCCGAGGAGTTGATAACGATAGATATCTGCAGGGAAAACACAAAGGGCCAGGTGAACTCCAGGGAAGCCTAAGTCCCAGTCCGTGTCCTGCACACCAATCCCCAGCCTCAGCCAGGCCAGGCCCTCTACACACACCCTTCGGTTCTCCCGATCCAAAATCTTGTAGTTGACAGCCTTCAATGCAGAGGCAGTACTGGCATCCTCAACAAAAAACTGGGCCCGTGTGTTTTCATAGTGAAACTGGAAGAAGAAGAAACAAAAGCTCCTGGTCCACTGGCTCACCCACCTTCCATGATGCCCAGCCAGCCACTCGGGCCTTATCTTACCTCAATGGGGGTGAAAGGGACACTGCATTTGCTCTGAATCGTACTCAGGAGCCATGCCTTGTCATATTTTCTGCCGTAAGGAATCTAGACGATAGGAAGAGAAGGGCACAGCATGTAACTATGGTTAAACTGCAGACCCAACCCAGTGCTCCCTTCCTACCTGTGGCCAAGCCTCCAGAGAGTTTCTAAAGAAAGGACCAGTTAAAGGTGTTTGGCTCAAGCCAGACATGGATTCCTTAATGTCCTCTCTGTCCATTTAAACTTATTATTTCTCAAAAGAGTCCAACTTTTGACTCTAAAAGTTCCAAGATATTATTTATACCTTGCCCACCTCTCAGAGAACTCAAGCAACTCAAGTCCCCCATTTGGCTTGAGCCAAATGGAGACATTCAGAGGAGTTATTCTTCCTTCACCCACAGTTACCATGTGTCTCTTTAGGCCCCCCTAATCTTCTTATCCTGCCTGTCCTCCACTCCTTTTCTGAACCTGCTCTTAGGCATTCTAGACAGTGTTCTCAGGAGAAAAGATAGATAGCTGGCTATGGAGAAAATAGCTGAGAAGATGGATTTTGTGGCGTGAAACACGAATCTTGTGCCCATCTCCCCTGCACCATCTATTTTCTAAGATACTCACTGTAATCTTAAACCAGTTCTTCGAGGTTCCATCCTGGCTGGTGCCAGCGCCCCCTCTCTCTGGAAGAGCTCTTTCTCTCCGCACAGTAACATGAATGCGGTCTCGATCATGCCAACTATCACCCCGACGGTTGGGTCGGGCAGCATAGGGGTTGCTGCGGGGCAACAGGGAGTGGAATGTCCATGAACACTAGGAATGTCTTCTTAACAACCTCTCTGCTCTGTTACTGGGACTGCAGCTAAGGCTGTTCGACCATTAAGCTGGCTGGTCCTGGTATTTCTCACTCCTCCAAGTGGGAAGCGAAATCGTATGGACAGTGAGGGGGCTACATAAATAACTGGGTTGCTAAACTCAAACCAGACCAAGAGGTCACTTACTATCGTACTCCTCGAGGAACATCCTGGGCGTCAGTCATTGCCACGTCTCTGTCATCTTCCTCAACACGGGAAGACCGAATGGCAGAACCTCCTCTTCCAGACCTACGGTTCCCCTCACCGTATTTCCACCGGAAAGGACCCCGGCCTTTCTTTCTTCTTTGAGGGAAACTAACGCGGTCATCATGCTCTGGGGTTGGAAATGGAACAGGATTTAGAGAATACACGACTGGCCAGCTGCCCTGCTGTGGTGATCACAGTATACAGCACTGTGCTATCAGACGAGATACTCAGCACAGGGGCCACCTCCATACAAACTCCTCTCCCTGTCAAAAGAATCCTACCTGTGGGACACTGGCATCAGGGACAAATTACTGGAAAACAATATAGGGTTTTAGAAAAATGAAACAGAAACTGGAATTTACAGAGAGAAGAGGAATGTGGAAGTGAGTGACCCAAAAGTGTAACACGACACAATTTAAACCTGCAATTTTCTCTCAGCCTCCTAAACCTACTTAACCCCTCTCAAAATTTGGATGGTGACCTCTCATGTCTCCTAAAACCAAACAATCGTGCTTTCGGTAAGTAATGCTTCTTTTACCTACACAGTACAGATACTACGTTTCTGACCGACTTAAGGGTTTCTTTAGTCTTGTTCTCAAACTGCCACTCTGAAGTTTTGGGAGTAACCTCTTTGTTTCCTTGGTGAGAGATGTTTTTTAATTCAGAAGACAATTCGCAGGCTCTGGTTCTAGAGGCAGCTAGGGTGCTTGACCACGGTACCTTGAACACTCCCCAGGAATATAGCTCTCTCCTAGTGTGGAGGCATGGTTTCTTAAAAAAGATTTGTGATTCCTAAAAAAGGTTTGCCTAATACCTAGTACTCTGCAAACAATTTATCTCAAAATATGACCGTAGAAAGAAAAGAATAAATGGATAGAAGGCACAGCTAACATTCAGAGAGAACTTTCTCCAGTGCCAGGTACTACGCTCCAGGCGCTTGATATGAATGCTCTCATTTTAACACACACACACACACACACACACACACTCTCTCTCTCTTAAGCTTGGTATAGCCAAGTCAGGGTTCAAACCTCGGCTGTCATGTGCTCCTAATCATTCCCTGGACGAAAACCCAGTGTTGTGTTAGGACTAGCACATCAAGTTCGATGTGTGGCTCTCAAATACCAAGCCAAAGCCAAAGGCTCAGGGGAGAGGGGTGGCCAGAAAGGCTAGACGCGGTAGAAAATACGGCACGGGCAGCCCACGAGCAGGTACAGACTCACATTAAAGGGCTAGTCTGGCCGCCAAACTGAACTGACAGTCATCAACACCCACAAAGTTCAAAGGAATCTCGTCACCCACCGCCGGGCCGCGCCTCCTAGCAACGCCAGGATTCCCGAGTCAACAACTTGGTTTCCCACTCCCGAGTCCGGCCTGGCCCTCAGGGCCGTCTCGCCACGGCCCGGGCCACCGTCGCTCCCCGCGGAAACCGGGCCCCTCGCCGCCTCACTCTCGGGGCCGCGGCCTAAGGCCAGGGTCGCCCACCCCGGCCCCAGATCCCTCAATTCCCCGCCCGAAGGCTGGCACTGACCGTTGTAGGACTTCCCCTCGTCCGCCATGGCACAGCGAGAGGCAAGGACGAGGTCAACGTGGGTCGCGACCCTGCCAAACGTCCGAAAGCCCAAATGCCCCAGGCCTAAGGGTTCCTAGGCCCGGCGCTACCGCATTTATCCCGCGAACTGCGTCGCGCGCAGCCGACGTTCCTAGGTGATAGGCGGTGACGCCCGGAAAAGCGCGGCCCGCTGCGCGTGCGCACTCGGCAAGTAGCCCGAGCTGGGGGCGGGGCAGGGCTAGGCCGCTGCAAGCCCCGCCCAAGACCTGAGTTCTAGGAACCCAGGGTTGGGGTTGGCCGGCCTCTAGGCCAGCACTTCCAGGGCTAGCTGGAGCGGACAGCAGGCTTCTGCAGCCCGGGACTCAGAGAGAAGCCCCACGGAAGGCTTCCGAGGAAGGGGCGACCTGAGCCTCATAGCTGGAGTGATCACTCATAGATCCCTAGCAAGACCCAGCCGGTTCTCATCTTGGCGTTTTGCCAGCTGCAGGTACATCCCTCGCTTTCCTTGTCTATAAAATATACTATCAAGAAATAGAAAACTAGGAACGTAGGCCCCTTGAGAACAGGGTCCTTGACCAATCGACTTTTTTCTCCAGCGTCTGGCTCAATACCATACCTGGCACATAGTAGGTACTCAACAAATATTTGTGAAATGAATTTCCAATCTATCCCACCCCCTATGAAGAGTTGCCAAGTCAAATTAGATTTCATCTGTCAAGGTTTGGCAAGCACCGGTCTTCCAGACGCCCCTACCCACCACTGGTGGTTGGCGCTAGACCCACATCCTGTTGGGCAGTGAAGACGTAAGCGAGATCACCTGCTGACCAAAAGCCAAGGGGAAAATTTTAAATGTCAGGGCTCTCCTAGACCCCCCAGTTCTAGGACTGCCCAGTGTACGATGATTGTTGCCTCTATAGCTTGAGCTTCCCCTGGGGTGTGTGAGATGGGGGAACTCCAGTGACCTCAGAACGATGTGGTTGTGGGTCCTGGTGAGGAATGACAAAGAATCTTATTGACCTCCCTGATGGGTGGGTATTCCAGGAGGGTTCTTGTTCATTCTCCTGGGACTGTCTTGGATTTGGTGAGGAACTTGGAGGGGACCAAGAGCTTCAGCTGGAGCTGGGAACAAATTCTTCACTTTACCTTTCACTCCTGGCATCAGGCAGGGCTCTCGCCTCATCCAGCTCAAGGAAAAGTTGGGGCCAGTTGATGGGAGACTACAGACCAAACTGGTCCAGATACTGCTGGAGAGGGTCTTGATGTTGCCACCCATCAGGGACCCACTCTGGGATCCACCCCGCTTCCCTTGAAATTTCCAGCTAACGAAGTGCTGCTACACTTGGCTCTCCCCTGCTGGAGGGAGCTGCGTGCACAGAGCTCGAAGCCTGGCCCCTCACAGCCATCAGCCTAACCCTTTCAGTCCTGGTACTGGGCAGTGGGCTCATTCCACTTGCTGCCCAGGCCCTTCGGCGCTCCCTCCCAGAAATGACAACGTGGCTAGTGAGGCTGACAGTCTTGCTGTAATTGGGAGAAATTGGGCTGCAGTGCATTTGGCAGATTGAGTCAACAGCAGCCGAAGTTGGGGTTGTGCAGGCAGCCAAGGGGCTCAGGGCTTCCTGCCTCACATGGTAAAGAGAAAGAGGTCAAATTCTAACCCAGATGGGAAAGTTGGTCCCTGGGCAGTTTCATTTCCTCCCCTCACTATCAGAAAGGTGGGGGAGATATCATCTCCCCTTGCTGTCCAAGTTTCCTTGGGAGAGGCTAGGGAGGGTTTATAAAAATCTCCTTGTGGAGACAACCTCCCAAACAGGACCCCAAGGGGGCCTCTGCTCCCTTCCAGCCACTGCATAGCAGAGTCCAAATCCAGAACCATGTGTGTTTCATGGGCCTGAGGATGTTGAGGGGAGGACAGGGCGGCCAGAGGCAAGGGATGAGGGATCAAGGACAGTGGCTGTTCTTAGCAGTTCCAGGGAAACAGCGCCTTTCTCCCAAGCACCCTGCAAGGCTCAGCGGCAGCCCAGGCCACCTGCCCCCGAGATGGGTTCTAGACCTCCACGGACTGCGTCGGAGGAGAGCTCAGGCAAGGAAGACCACAAAGATGATGAAGAAGACAATGAGGATGAGGAAGATTTTGACCATGAGCCACCGATTGGAGGTGACCGACTGGAAGTACTTGAGGATCTCTGAATGGGCGGCCTCAACATCCAGCTGGGCTCCCAGCACGTTCTCGTCGATCCTGGGGGCAGAGCCGGGGGGAGAGGACAGAGAAGGACAGTGGATTAAAAAGAATGCTGTTGAAGCGTATTTACTGATGTGAAGAGATGGTCACAATATGTGGGAGAAAAATGTTTATATACAATATGAGCCCATTTTTGTGTGTATGTTTGTGTATAGGGAATGCTCTGGAAGGGTAACATAAGTCTTGGCTCTGATTTTCAAACCAGCTCTGCAGCTTATTTGCTTATGAGCCTGAGCCAGTCATTTAACCTCAGGTCTCATTTCCTTCAACTGCAAAGCAAGGAAAAATGAGGCTAACACAAACCTTACCTCTCCAGTTGCTGCCTTAAATGAGTTAACAAATATAAAGTGCCCAAACCATACTAACATCCCCAAAACATAAGCTATTACAATTTTTTGCTTGTATTTACTGATCTCTAATAAGTACTGCATTTGTAATAAGGGAGGGGGGAGGTTACGATCATTACTGTCAGGAAATCCTTGTTCTGAGTGAGAAAGGAAGAAAAACTGAATGATATGGATAGGAAGTCAGGGTATAGGAAAAGCCCTACACTAAGAGAATGTGTCTCTTCAGGTTACAGAAAAGTCCTCAGTCTCTCTCGAGATTGCTGAGGAAAATAAAACATTTCCTGACCTGTATGTGCAATCCTAAAAACCAAATACAAACCCTGCACCTTTACAGAGGGGGTCGCTGGGAGCAGAACCTGGCAAGCAGTGAGAATAGAAAAATTGGTGGAGCCTGGCAATCCAGTTGGAAACTAAGAGGAAAGGCTTCGCCAGGGGCTGCAAGCCCAAGGTCCTGGGAGGACTGCGAGCTACTCTCTGTCCAAAGACAGGAGGCTGGATTGTACATGATTCCCTATTTGTGTCAAAGAAGCTAACTAAAGCATCAGGGTTTCCTAGATTATGGCTATAATTACATTTCTCAGTGTGGGTGCATCTGTCATCTCATATCAATAAAGCTCAGATTGGAAATTCTGAATGGCTTTGCACAACAAAATTGGAAAACCGGTAAGTGCAATCTGGCAATATCAAAGATTTTAAATGGGGGTCCGCGAATGAAAACTAATAGAAGGGGGGGAACCCTGGTGGTAAAACAGTCAGGAATCAGTGGGATAGAGGAAGTGGCAGGGAAATTAAAAAATGGAAACTCATCGGGCAGACAATGGTGTGGGAAAGAGAGGGCTGAGGAACACAGAAAGGGGGAAAGTTTGCAAGGGGACGAGAAGAAAAGAATGTCTTATGGAGGGAAAGGAAAACTAAAGAGGGAAGGAGTCCAAGCAATGAGAAGCTGGAGTTTAGCTGAACAGAAAGGGTAAATGATGCAACTGAAGCGAGAGGCACAGAAACCAGAGGCCTGTTCAAGTGGTTCAGAAAAAAAAAAGTGAGAAAGGAAATGTGCTAAAATGCCAACTGTTGGTGAATCTAGGTGAGAGGAATATAGGTGTTCGTTGGGCTGTCCTCCCAACTTTGCTAGTTTGAATTTTTAAATTCAGAAATTCGGGGGGAAAGAAAAATGACCAAGTAACATTAGATCAGCAGTTTCCATACCTTAGAAAAAAATAAAAATCACCTGTTGAGTGTCTCCCAAAATGCAAATTCTCAGGCTTTATATCCAGAGAGTTCATGGTAGGGCCCAAGAATCTACCTACTGAAGAACTCTGGACCAAGTCAGTGGTTTCTAAAGAGGGTGCTCAAATCCAGGCCACTGGCTTGTGGGAGAAACGTAAGAATATCTAAATATTTTTTTAATTCCATTCTTTCAGAAATTCAATTTCTTGTGCATATGGTTCCTCACAAATTTTCTTTTATTATTTTCCTTTTACGTTTCAATGTACTATAAAATTGCTTCTGAGCTATTCAACTGAAACTGCTCACACTAATCCAGTTAATCCTAGTCCTCCTGCCCCAAACCAATTAGCACCTTGGGAGCCTTACCTCAAACTTCTGTTTTCAGGGGCACTGAGAAATGACCACTCCTTTCTTCCTGAAGTCCCTTCCACCGCGGCTTCTAAGGACACATCTCTACTTCCTTCTCTCATCTTCCTAAGTCTTCCTCCTCGGTCTCCTGGACAGACCCTTCCCTTCCCCACATACTCTGGAATCCACGGGGATCCGTCCTATCCTTTATCTCACTTCACCCACTGTCACTGGTCTTGTCTGTGCCCAGGGTTTCACCGAGAGGCCATGGATTTGCAAGTCCTCGTCTGTAGCTCAGCCCTCTCTTCTGAGCATCAGACCGTGCCTCAAATGCCACCTGGCTGTCCCAGACAGTCTGACGCTCAGCGTGTCTGGGGCAAACCCCATTCTTAGCCACCATCAGTCCATTCCTGCAGGGTGCTCTCCCGGGGAAACGTCTTGCTCGGGCACGCAGGTGCTTCGTGGTCTGGCCTTGCCTCTCTAGCTTTCTTCCTCACTACTCCCCCAGCCACACAGAGTAATTCTGCATTCCTGGGATCCACCCAAGCTCGCTCTCGTTTCGGAGCTGTTTCTCCAAGACATGGAATGGCCTTTCCTCTCTCTTTCTTTGGCTGGCGTTCCCCCTCAGGTTGTAGCTTGCTGTCACTTCCAGGAGGCCCCATGGCCCAACTCGGAGAGAACAAGTGTGAGTTGCCTCATTCCCTCTGTTCCTGAACTCATCATATGAACTGCAATCATCCAGGTGTCTCTCCTACTAGACAGTGAGCTCCAGGAGACTCACCAGAACTCTGTCTTTCGGCTTCCCAGCCCCAGATCCAGCACGACTAGCTCACAGCAGCAACCAACATTTGCTAAACCAATGCATGGATGACTACTAACACTGAAAAACACTTAACGATCCCCTTTCAAGGAAGACTAGAAGTTGCATATATATGCTGTGATTCTAACTAATTAAAACACATATGCATGGGGTGAAGAATCTAAATATCTTTTTTTATTGTTTCACTGAATATACAGTATTCTAATATTCAAAGTAACATCATAGCCTGAGGAGCTATGGTGTTTACGGCCTAACCTAGCAAGGGCTTCCCTAGATCTCAGCTGAACCAGACAAGAATCAGTCAGTTCTCCTGATTCTAGGACCGAGACAGCTGTACTCACAGCACTTTATAAATGGCTGATGCTCAACACAAAGTAGTTGAATAAATAAGCAGTCTTTAAACCACTGTTTCGCAACCTGATGCTCATCAGAACCTCCTATGAGCTTGTATGAAATGGAGATTCCTAGAGGCCGTTCCCAGAATATCTATGGAGTCACAGTCTCCAAAAAAATAGGTTCCTGGCCTCCCACTTGAAGATTCTGATTCCAAAGAGGTGAGCAGCCTGGTCCTTCAGGAATCTTCATATACTGTAATGTCCACAGAGGGTCTGACAAGTATCCAGGTTTGGGAATCACCAGCTAAAAGAGTGTTTGTTTATTCACTTACCATGTGTGGAGCACCAGCCATTTATAAAGTGCTGTGAGAACAATTGTGTTGGTCCCCACCCCCAGCATCTGCACCACATATCTTGCCTTCCCACCTTTCATCAGCCCCTTTCAAAGCCCAGTCCTCTGCTTATGCACTGGATACTACTCCCTCTCACCTTCTCAAGGACATAATTATAAGAATTCTCTCCCCTTGCTCTTATATTATCAATTTTTATTTCTCTGTTGGGTCATTCTCATTAGCATACACACATACTTTTATTTTCTCCCAGGCTTTAAAAAAATAGAAACAAAAACCTCTTGACTCCCACTAGACAAACTGGGAACAAATTGAGCATTGAAAAATCATCAAAATCCAAACTCATTATCATACAAAAATAAACAAATAAAAACCTTAGCTCCATAATGACACTCAAAACAGAGAATTAACAAACTCCTTACACACAAAATCAATACAATATTGTACACCAACTGTACTTCAATAAACACCAAACTCCTTGGTCACTATTTTTGGCACGTGCTCTACTATTTACTCTGAAAGTACAGGAGAATAGTTTTATCCAGCCTGATTAAGAGGAACTGCAGCTCATGCAATTAATAAAGGAAAATGTATCCCAATGAGATTTGATTCAGACAAGCATCGTAAGTGGATCCTAGAAACAGTAGGTGAAACATCTTTGGGGAACAGGCTATCATCACAGGTATCCCACAAATACCTTAAGACTGCAAAGCAAAAACATACACTTTTAAAAGGAGAGATTATCTGTCACCACCTTAATCAAGTGATCATACTTTTTCTCATCAATGTAGGGACAATCTTACAGTAAATACTTATTGACATGCAATTTGATATTACATATACTACACTGAAGAAGAAGAAAGAGAGAGGCAGAAAAAAATATTTGAAGGAATAACAGCTCAACATTTCCCAAAGTTGGTGAAGGACATAAATGTATAGTTTCAGGAAGCTCAGAGACCCCAAGTATAGTAAATTCGAAGAGAATCACATGTAGATTGCATAATAGTCAACTGCTGAGAACCAAAGACAAGAAACAAATACTGAAAAGCAGCCAGAGTAAAACACATTACACAGTTAGAATTTACACCCACCTCTCACTAGGCCCGAGAAAGACCAAAAGAGCAGAGTGACATTTTCAACGTGCTTAAAGATTAAAACCATAAACCCAAAATGCTACAATCCGGACAAAAATATCCTTTAAGGATGAAGGAGAAATAAATTTTCAGAGAAAGGAAGAGTAAGAGAACTTGTCAGCAGATCTGCGCTACAAAAAGCGCTACAGGAAGTTCTTCAGATTAAAGGGAAGCGAAGCCAGATAGAAACTGGGTATTTGGGAGGGAAAGGAGAGCCCTGGAAATGGTAAGTATATGAGTAAATAGGAAAGACAATTTTCTCCTCTTAATTTCTTTAAACTGTAAAGCAAAAAAAACCACACAATTATACAGTTTTACAGTTACTGTAGTGTGGGATTAAGAAAGTATACAGATGCAACAACTACAGCATAGAGGACGGAGGAGAGGGTTGCCAATTTCTTATATTTTATGTAAACTGTGCAAGGTAAATGATGCACATTGGAACCCCTAGGCAGCCACAAAAAAAGAAAAAAAGCAATGACATACAGCTAAACTACCAACCGACAAGTTTAAATGGAATTCTAAAAAACAATTCAATTGTTCAAAAGAAGACCGGAGAGGAGAAAGAGGGGAAGGAAAACAGAAGGGGAAAGCAAGCAAACCGTAAGGCAGAAAGCCTGAACCCCACCTCCGCACAAATCACCTCGATGTGAACGAGCTAAACCCTCCAGTTAAATTCTCAGCTCTCATCCTGCTTGAACGAAAACCAAAATCACAGCTGATCACTCTTTCTTTCACTCATTTTCTTCTCCTGGCTCCCAGGACACCACAGTCATCCGTTTTTTTCCGCGCCTCGTCAGCTGTGCCCGTTCCACCTCCTTCCAGGACTGAGCTCCGCGCAGAAACGGCCCCAGGCCTCAGTGCTGGGTTCTCCTCCTCACACGCACTCCCTTACCCAGCTTCAGAGTCCAGTTCTGCCCACTCACGGCCCACACCTGTCTCCTGAACTCCATATATCCATCTGCCCGTTCACTGTCCCCACTTAGATGTCTAACAGACGACTATTCACCTCTTGCTGGACCGCTTTTCCCCCAAACCTACTCTACCCGATGTAACCAATCCTTTTTCAAGTGGAGGCCATGAATCCCTTCAGTCACTCATATGAGAAGCCTGGAGTTCTTATAAACCCCTTTTTCTCTCACACCCTACATTCAGTTCATCAAATTATTGATACTGTTGGTTCTATCTTCAATATATACCCAGAATCCAACTGCCGCTCAGGACCTTGGTCCCAACTACTATCACCTCTTGCCTGAATTATTGCAAAAGCCTCCGTACGACCTCCTGCTTCTCAGAGGCCCCTATGATCTGTTCTGACTATAGCAACTGAGTGATCCTTTTACAGCAGAAGTCAGAGGGTGTAGCCTTCCATCAAAACCCTGCAGTGGTCCCCTATCACCCAGTCTAACAGCCAAAGCATCACAATGGCTTTAAAAGGCCCCACATGTTCTGGTCCCTCATTTCCCTGCTAGCCTCACCTTGAGCTACTCTCTCCCTCACTTGTCCCCAGCTGCAGTGACTTCTTTGCTGTCCTTTAACTCATCAGACACAGTCCTACATGAAGGCCTTCACCCTGGTTCTTCCCTTGGCCTGGTATTACTTCCCCAGATATCTACATGGAAAACTCCCTTACCTTCTTCCAGATCTTGGTCAGATGTGATCACCTTCTGAACAGGGTCTCCCTGAACATCCCATTTAAGATTACAACTTGCATTTCCAAACCTGACACTCTTCTGATTAGTTTACCTGACTCTACTTTTATTTATGGCATTTGTCACTGGGCAGAAGAATGCACTGGGCCCTTTCCGTGTTATGTGTATTTTTAATAATCTGTCTTCTCTACAGGGATGTAAGTTCCAGAAGAGCAGGGGTCTTTGTCTCTTTCGTCCACAGCTGTAGGTCTGTAACTGGCAAATGCATGCTGTGTGTTGAAGAGCAGCAGGTAACATGCCTCTTGAGGTGGCAGGTGGTGCCAAAGGAACAGGGAGGCCTTTGCACAATTGGGCTCTGCCTGTCCCTCTGGTCTCACCTAGTACCTCTCGGTCCCTGTTCATCACTTTCTAACTACACTGTCCTTCTTGGTTCTTGATGGCTGCAAGACCAGCCAGAAGACCAGCCCCTCACAGGGCCCTTGCCCGGGCTGTCCACATTGCCTAGAACACTCTTCCTCTCTTCTTCCTACAACTTCCTTGCATGGTTGGGCCCCCCTGTCACTCAGGGCTCTGCTTTAGTGTCGTCTTCTTTAGAGCAGCCTTCCCTGCCACCCATCCTGATACGTCTACTCAGTCACTTTCTTAACACATCACCCAACTTCCTTTCTCCGTAGAGCCCTTATCCCTACCTGAAAATTTCTTGTTAATTCTTTTTAAGAGCTGTTCTCACCCACCTGATTGAATTCCACACATACACACAAAGCATGGACTTCACTGTTCTACTCATCGCTGTATCCCCAGCACCTAGAACTGTCTGACATGGAACAGGTGCTCAATAAACACCTGTTGAACTGTGGGTGGACAGGATTCATTCTATACTTCCCAAGGGTATCAGGCTGTCCCTGGGAACACTTAGGATGCCAACCCACAGGAAACAGAAGATCCTCTGTTTGGGATGAAAGAGTGTCTCACCTCTGAATGGTTTCTTCCTGTTCCTTAACCATGTGTGCCAACTGCTGAAAAATGGAGCCCAGCTCAACAACTGTAGACTCGATGTTCTGCATGGTGTCTGCCCGGCTCTGGATGTAGGAGTCCTTCAGAGGAGAGAGAGCAGGCACGAGTGCTGGCAGCTTCTTCAGGGTAGGGCCTGCCTCTACAGGACCCTCCCAGCTTGCTATTCCACCCGGGGTGCATTCCAAACACTTGCTTGTGGCCCACAGAGGACAGAGTAGCAAGCCCCTGACAGTTCAGAGTCTGGGTACCTGCTCGTCAATGAGCTGCAGCTGCTGGCTGGTCCGAGAGTCCATCATGTTGATGGCCACATCCCCCGAGGCACGGGACTCTGCCCCCAAAACCACAGCACCGCCCCCTGGGGAAGAAAGACAGGACACTTCTTGGTTAAAAGCAGGTTCAAATGAGCCCACATGCTCTCGTTATAATCTCAGCTGTGGCACTTACTAGCCTTGTGACTCTGGATGAGTCATTTAACCTCTCTGAGCCTCAGTTTCCTCATGTGTAAAATGGGGGATAGTAATAGTTGCTTTCTCTAAGGGTGGTTATGAAAATTGAACATGAAAATGTGTGTAAAGGGAGTGAGGGCACAGAAAACATTAGAAACCGTCATTCTTCTGAATGTGACTAACTTCACCCCCAACAGTGCAAATGTGGGACACTAAGTGTGGATCATGAAATCAACAATCAAGTTTGACTTCTGAGAAAGTCTAGAAACTTCCCTGTCCTCCCCAAGCTGCCTTTAGAGGGTGCCAGCACAACCAGAATAACCGAGTCTTGCCACTCGGGGCTCCCGCCACTGCCTGTGACTTACCCAGGTGGTTGGGAGCAAGGGGCAGGGCTGACACGGGTGCCCGGGAGAACTGTTCTCGCCGGCTCCTCTGCTGCTTCAGGTTCTGGGATTGGGGAAGAAACGCAAAGGTCCTGAGTCCTCTGGGAAGCGGGCATGTTAAAGAGAACCCCCTCTGCCCATGACTCTGCTGCCCTCACCTCTCCCTTCGATCCTTCCCTATCCCCTCATGGGCCCTCGCCCCAGGCCTCTATCCTTCCTCACCTCTGTCCTCACTTCTAAAACCGATTTGAAGTCATTGGACATGGAGGCCAGTTTGGACTAGAAAAAAAGGAGAGGAGGTCAGCTGAAGACGACAACACCTTCTACCCTTTGCCCTTTGCGCTCCCACCCCAGGTCCTACCTGCAGGGAGACCACGATGGTGTTGGAATGGGTCTGCAGATGCCGGCCGCTCTGGCTGCCCTTGGCCTTCACAAAATCCTGAAGCTGGGCAATTTGTTTGTTGAGGCTATTGATGTCCTGGTGAAAAAGCCAATAAAACAACTGAGTATCAACAAAGAGTCCTCAGCCAGCATCTCTCCCACATGGGTGCCTCTGGCAGGGAGGGCAGGGAAGGAGTTACTAGCAGAGGTGAGGGCATTTCAAACAGACCAGAAGGGCCTCCTGGGATTTTCCAAACTCTGGAGTTTCCTCTGGGCTGCAGACTAGAGCCAGAAAGAGGGGAAATATCATCTCATCCATTTGTAAATACAACTGACCCGTGAACAACACAACATGGGGTTTAGGGAGGCCGACCCATGTGCAGTTGAAAATCCAAGTGTAACTTTCGACCCCCAAAGAATTAACTACAAATAGCTTACTGCTGACTGGAAACCTTATTGATAACATGAACATTCGATTAACACAGATTTTGTGTATTAAATACCATAGTCATAATATAAGCTAGATAAATGTTTTTTCAAATGGCCACAATCTTCAAAATGTTTTCTAATATATTTATTGAAAAAAATCTGCATAAGTGGATCCAACCAACTCAAACCCATGTTGTTAAGGGCAAATGACTTGTTTATCCCCTCCACCTTGCAGCTGTTTGCCACCCTGTGAGGCCACACTCATGGCCCCAGACCCCTTCAGAGGCCAAAACCTTGGACCCAAAGCATGTTGACCAGCGAACCACCTGTGTACCACTCAGAAGAGAAGAGTCAGAGGCACCGCAGTTCCCCAGAAGCATCACCCAAATGATTTTTATATGTAGAATTCCTTTTAAAAATTATTGCAAAAGAGTGAAAGCCATGACTTGTTCAAGATGACACACAGTTGAGTTAGTAGCACAGCCAGGCTTCCTACACTAGACCAGTGTGTCATCTGCTCCCAGATCCAGCCTGCCAAGGGTCACTTCAGACAAGTGAGACGACGGAGGCAGTGGGCCGGCAGAGAGAGCTCGTCCCAGAGGAGCCAGGGCCTGGGAGGGGTCAGAGAAGCAGAGGGGAAGGAGTTCAAGCACAGTGAGTTCTAGAAATAGGCTAGAAGAAAAACCAGATCAGACAACTTCTAGAGTCCTTCCAACTGTCCCCTCCAATTAGTCTCCCAGTCCTGACCATTCTCTTGAGAACTCTGAACCATTTCCACTGCTGACTGGTCTGACCTGGAGCTGACTGGGCCTCCTCATAGCTTACATGTCCACAGCGTTCCAGGTTTTTTCCCCATAAAATCTCCTTCCCCAGGATTCTAGCTTAGAAAATGGCACCACTTCCCACCTAGGCGCCCAATCTAGAAGCTTCTAAACCACATACTCACACCTCCTTACCCCACCAGTATGCCACAACGCAGCCATTGTCCACCGGGTACACTTAGCACCACATGAATACAACAGCAGCCTCTTATTTGCTTACCATGAGCCACACAACATGCTAAGCTAATTACAGCTTTCTTTTTGTCCTTAAACTTAACATAGAAAACAACTCCCAATTTCCGCTCCAAAGCTATTTCACCCCCTTCCTCCTCCTTTTCCATTTTGGCACACGGCACCACCATTTACCAGCTGCTCAGATCAAACCCTGAGGAGCCATCCTCAATTCCTCTCTTTTCCCTTAATCCCCATGTAACCTAGCAGAACCCGGCTGATTGCAATACACACTCTGAACCTGTCCACTCACCTCCTTCTCCAATAAACCCACACTAGTTCAGACTGTCATCTCTCTCTCGAGAATCTCCGGGAGCCTCCCAAATGACCTTTCTCTCATAGCTCGTTCCCCTATGATCCACTCGCTGCACAGCAACCAGAGTGACCTTTTAAACTAAAAATGGGGCATGTTACTCCTCTGCTTAAAACCTTCCAAAAGCTTCCCAATAAATTCGGAATACAACTCAAATTCTTTACCTGGCTTGCACAGGCTCTACATGAACTGGCCCCACCCACTTTTCTGACCTCATTCCCTACCGGTCTCCTTCTCACTTGCTATGCTGCATCCACACGGGGCCTCTTTCACGTCTATCAAATCCAGCAAATCCCCCACACTTTAGGGACTTCTCTTTGCTAATCCCATTTCTTGGTAAGTACTCCCACCAGAGTCTTAGATGACTGGCTTTTCCCTCACCATTCAGGTCTCGATGTCACTTCTTCCACCAGGCCATCTTAGAATCGCCCCATCTAAGGCAGGCCCCTACCCTAAATAATTCACTTGCCTTATTACTTTAATAGGATTTACCACCGTCTGCAACTATCTTTTCTGTTTACTTGTATAGTGTCTAGTTCACCCATTCCAAAAGGGCAGGGACCAACCACATCTCTCTTATTCATTACTAAGTCCCCAGAACCAAGCAACCAAAAGTCACTCAATAATGTGAGTGGTTGAAAACATAAGCAAATGAGACCTCACAACAACCCTATGAGGTAGGTACTGTTATTATCCCCTTTTATTCACAAGGGAACTGTAGGTATGTAGCTTACCCAAAGTCACACCATAAGTGGTGGATGTAGGATTTGAACACAAGTCAGTCCGAATCCAGTCAGCGGTTCTTAAATGCCTATAACACCCTGATAGTGGAACCGTCTCTTTCCCAGCACAGTGCGTCTGGAATGTGTCTGCCTTTTGGCCTCTGCCATAATCACCTTGGTTTTGGACAACTGCAGCAGTTTTCTCCCTGGCCTCTGCCCAGCCATGCTCTGGGTGGTCTTTTTCCCCATGATCATTCAATTTCACATTTTATTCTCATTACACTGTCCTAGGAATAGAAGGGGTCACAGCTGTATAGAACTGTGCTATATGGGTGTCCTTCAGACAGAACTGGGTCTAGGTTCTAATCATCTTTGCAGGCCGTAGCACTCAGAGTGATTCCTCTCTCCTCAGCAAAACCCCGAGTGATCTTCACAACCAGACACCAATCTACCTTTCCAACCTGCCAATCACTCATTTGGTCAACAAAATTAAGTACCTGCTATATGCCAGACACTGATATAAGCATTTGGGACACATTTGGGGATAACCAGAAAGAAAAAAATCTCTGCTCTCTAGCATAGATTTCTTTCTTTCTTTTTTTGAGGGGGATGAGGCAGATGAGAGAGAACAGAGACAATTAACATAAAGGTTAGTTATAATGTTAGAATGCATCAAGTGCTATAAAAAAGAAAACAGAACAAAGTAAAGGAGATCAGAGCTTTGGGTGTTGGAATATTAAACAGCACAGTTAGGGTAGGCCTCTCTGAGCACATTAATATCTGCGCAAAGACCTGAACTTGCCCTTTTTTAAGTCATGCCTCTGCACATGCCACTTCCCCTACCTGGACTGTTCTTCCACTGCTTCTACACAAGCCTTGATACCAGCTCAGATTTTGCCTCCTCTATAAAATCTTTCCCAGCATCCCCAGACTACTGCATTCATCTTCTTGTAAGATCTTTTCTGTACCACTCGTCTCCTACTCATTGTAAGCATGAGTTTATAGGGCTGGACACCTCTTCTAGACAATAAGCCCTTGAAGGCAGAAATCTCACTTCATATTGGGGAGGCAAGTGTCCAGCTCTGCTTTATACACAGTAGGTGATCAATATTGTCTACTGACTCAGTGGATGACCAGGATGTTTGGGGTGGCCCTAGTAACCTGCTCTGGGCCTCCAGGGCAATGGAAAATGGTGGGAGTGATCTGACTGGAATGCTGGATGCTCCCAGTAGCTGGTAGCTCACCTGTTTGATGATATAAGTTAGTTCCTCGATTTCCACTGCTTTGTCATCAAAGAGGGACTTGCGCTTTGCCACTGCAGAAACAAATAAGAAGTCACGATGGGTGAGGTCAAAGACGAGGCTCAGGAAGTACGGTTCCTCAGGCCTCTTTCATTCACTGCCTCAATTTTGAGAGATCCCAAGAATACTCACAGATTGTCAGCTTCTCCAACTTGGCAAACGTGTTGCTGAGGTCTTTCCCAATGCGCCTGCAAAGGAGCATTAGTGAGAACATTATGGGAAAGGGGAGGAGAGAGCCTATTCCCACATTAGCTCGAGCACAACCAATCCTAGCCTTCACAGCCAAGGCCACCAAAGGCAAGCCTACTTCTCCTCAGACACGGTATCATCCCACCACCTAACTGCTCTCGACTCACTTGGCCATGAGAGTGAATTCACTGCGCTGCCGGACAGCGCGCAGAGCTGGCTTGTTTGTCTGGATTCCATTCTGAAAAGCAAGGTCAAGAGGTGAAGCTTTAGTTCCCCTCATTTCCAGCTTTCACAGTTCCTCAGGTGTCCACTACATCTCTCTCTAGTACTACTGTTAGCCTCCACCAGAAGGTCTAATTTTATCAGTAGTAGTACTTTAGAGCCCAGATTTGAAGACAGGAACACCTGGGTTCAAATCTTGACTCCACCACTTAACTAGCTGGGGATTTTGGAGCAAGTTCTTAAACCATTCTGACTCTCTATTTCTTCTATCTATAAAATGAAGACAATCCACACACCTACTGTAACTCCTAAGATTAAATGACCTAAGGGCTGTAAAGTATTTTAGCCCAAATACCTGATACATTGTAAGCACTAAATTGCCATTCTACTCCTCAACCAGGGAATCGCTTGGAGATTATAAAAAAGAGCAGCTGTTATCCAGAGCTGAGCAGTAAACGTATTTAAAATTACAGTTACTCAGGTCCCTCTTGGATTCAGAAAGTCTAGACCAAGACAAGGGAACCTAATTTTTAAAATAGTACTTCAAAGTGATTTTGATAAAAAATATTTATCTAGAAAACTTCACTTTACAGATATAAACACAGCCCAATTAGATTAACTTCCACGTGGGCACAGAGCAAACTTGTGGTGGAACTAGAATTCAAATGCCTGTCTCTGAGCTAAAGGCTCTAAGTAGTTCCTTACCCAAATAAAATATATTGCAGTCACCTCTCACCCTGATATAATTCTTCCAGAAGAGCAACACTGTCCTCCGGGGCATTCCTCACAAAGAAGTCTAGGGCCTTGCCTCTAAATAACTAGCTCACCATCCCTCTGTTGCTTAGTAGATCTTACCGCCCCCCCAAGCTTGATCAGTTCTGCATCAGATTCCCCCAGGAATTCCTTCAATCAACAATGCTGCAGCAGAGCGTCTCCCAGATGTGAGTAAGGCTCACTCCTGACTTCCCCACTTCTCGTCCTTACCTGACGGCTCTGCAGAGACTTGCAGGCAGACAGGAACTCCTGGGTCCGATCCCGGCAGGACATGGTGTCGGGAGGGGGAGGGACCAGGGCCACTGGTGGGGGCAGAGGGGCGATGTCGCTGCTGCTACTGCCAGCAGTTGCAGGGGACAGGACCTGTGTCTTTGAGAGACCCAGGTAGACACCCTGATCCGTGTTCTTAGACCCGTAGCGTTTCCGCGGGATCATTGAGACGCATAACCTCGGACTGTTGTGGAGGGGAGAGTGTCATTCCCCAGGCAGCCTCCTTCTCCACAAATTCCCCCACCAAAGAGCAAATCATCGGGCCCCTTCTGCACTTGGCACAGACTTTCGCGCCTAAAGCCACCCGCAGATCCTGGGGCCGGCCCGGGGCGGGCAGCGTCCCGTTTCCTCTCCGGCCTAAGCCGTTCCCCTGCTCAGGCTCCTCTTCCAACTTGGCTCTGGCTGTCAGAGAGCGGGCCGGGGGACCCTGAAGCAGAGACAGGGCCAGAGGAAGGTCCTCTGGCCCCGAGGCTGCGGTCCGGCCTGTGCAACTGCCCTAGGCCCTAGCTGGGCCGCTTATATCCATGGGTTCCCTCAACTCCTCAGGGAGAAACGGTGACGGACCTCCAAAGCAGGACACACTTCGGTGGGCGGAGGGGTGGAAATCTCTAAGGTGTGTATTTGAAACAGGAAGTCCCACCCCCTCATAAGTCCCGCCTTCTGGAGTATCGCAGCCACTGATTAGATAATACAGACGTCCCTCTCAACAGGGGCTTTCGTGATTGGACGGTGAGGTATTCGCTCACCCCCGAGCCGGACCGGCAGGAATTGCCCGCTGGCCCCCGGTTCTATTCCCCCCGTACCCCGGAAAGCTGCTGCCCGGAGTGGACAAAGCGGCTAGACCCCTCTTAGGGCGAGTCCTACCTCCTCTCTGCCTCCTGCTGCCGCCGCCACTACCACAGCCTCCCGGGTCGTCACTGCCTCCTCCCCGGGCGCCGAAGCCGCCGAATCCGGACCGAAGACCAGAAGCCGCCACGTCACCCACACGTAGCTCTCCGCCTCTTCTCCCTCCCACCCCGGTGACGGGAGGGCGGTGCCACTCCTTTTCAGGCTCCAAGCTCCGGGGACACGCCCCCAACAAAAAAAACAAGAGTAACTCCAGCCTCCCATTGGCCAGGCCGCCCCTGTGACCCCGCCCCCGAGGGATGAGAGCCGAGGCCCAAGGGGCTGGGCCAGCCCAGGGAAGGAGCCTTAAGAAGCCCTCAGGCCCCGCGGTGCCGGCGCCCAGCAAGCCTAGAGTGGGCCGCGGAGGCTTGGTTAAGTGCTCGGGTAGGTGCACGTTAGAAACTTTATTCTCTGGAGGCCGGGGCGGACTGAGAGCAGGGCTGGAGTCACTCCTTCTCCGGCTCCTCCAGGATCCCCTCCCGGTTCTCTCCTGGAACGCACACACTTGCTTTCGATGTGGGGCTGATTGCCTCTCGTTTGACCGCGAGGAGCTCCGATGGCTGAACATAGAGAGCTGCCGCCACAGGACGGTGATCCGAAGGCTTCTTTAGACTTGTGATTCCGGTTGCTCGGCGAGTCCACATGGCTCCCGACCCCGTCAGTGCCTGCGGGGATGAGGACGCTGCTGAGCTGCGCTCTACTCTCCCTGCTCTAACCTCCTGGGACTTACATTTTCAGCAGCCCCTTCTGCTCCCTGGGACCCCTTGGTGTGTCTCGGGTCCCACCTTCCTCGGATTCCTCCGACTCATACTCATTGGCCTGCTCATCAGAAGTCTGAAAGTCTTTGTCTTGGCAGCAGCCCATGGCCTGTGCGCCCTGTGCTCGGTGCCACCCACACCGGCCCACTCGGCTCCCGCTTGGCTTTTGGGACGTCGGATATCCCACCGCCCGGGCTCAGGAAGCAGCCACCCTTCTTTTCTCCCATCACAAAAGGCTCAGGGTCATGGCGGGAGTTGAGCTATTTATTTACAAAGTGAGCACTGGCGTTTCAGGAGCTGGTGGACCCAGGCCGCTGCTTCTTTCTCCGTCTGGTCCGGAGGGCCCCTTGTATATGCTCCAAATCTGGGAACTTCCGCTTGGCAGCTGCCTCCAAGGAGGCCCAAAGTTCATCTGTCTCCGTGTCTTCTAAGGACACCTTGTTGGGCTCTTGAGGCTCCTGGGGCTCATCCTGGTGAGTGGGAGAAAAGCACAGTAATACAGCCACAGGAAAGGAGGCTCTAGGTGGGAAATAATTACTCCAGGGTACCACCCCTTTTATTTCCTGCTCCTGAGACCACTCCCATGCATGCTCCTAGTCACACTCCTCAGAGAAATTAACTTGGCAAATAAATGGACAGTTCCAGATCTGTATTCCAGCTGCTTCCTTTTCCTCTCCCCAGGGAAATCCTCACATCTAAGCCCTTGGCTCCTACATACCCAGACCTGACTGCTTACCTCCCAGTTATCCCTGCCTGACAGGAGGAGGCAATTCAGTTGAGACTTGAGATAAACCTGCAAAAGAAGAGGGGCCTTAAGGAGCCACACATGCCGAAATAGAAACAGGAAGGGGGCACAGGGGGGAGCAGGCGCTCACTTTATGCTCCAGGCCCCGCGGATTCCGGATCCTGTGTACTCTCAAGACTCTGTCCAAGCCACAGGAGGCTAGTAGGGGCTTTGACGGATGGCACTGCAATCCTCGGACACTGCCTGCCAGCCCATTTAGACAGCCCAGGAGGCGCCCTGGAGAAAGGCAGAGCCAGCCAACAACCATTAACTGTTTACTGTTTGAACCACTTTACATTTCTATAGTTTATCCTCCACATAACGTTGTGACAGGCTTTATCATTAATATCTCCATTTTACAGGTGAAGGAACTAAGGCACAGGGAGTTGAAGGCATTTGCCCAACATCACACAGCTTTTGGTGAAACCAGGATTTGAACACGGGCAATCTGGCACCTGAACGAGGGCATACTGGCTCCACTGCACCATCTCAGAGGGAAATCCTGCCCTTCCTCTCTATCCTTTCCCCTCCCGGAAAGCTCCCTCGTCCACTCACCTTGCCGAAGGTCAATTTCTGCCAGCTTCCCATGAGTGTTCCCCACGATCACGGAACTGAGGAGGAGACCAGAGGCAGGTGGGATCAGCAGGAGCTTCCTGGACTTCTTCCCAATCCCCACTCAGCCCTTTAAAGACTCACTTGCCACCAGGAGTGAGGGTCATGGCTGTCAGTGGGTACTCTCCATAGGTGGCTTCTAAGACTGGCCGGCGCTGGGGGGAGGCTGGATCATAGACCCTGACCTGAAGGGAGACAGGCATCATGAGAGTGCCCCATCTTGCTTCTCCATATCTTCACCCCTCCTTCATACACTCCTTTCTTGTTTATGATCCCCTCTTACAGAAACTTTCTCATTTGAAATGTAGCCCTCTTCTCTGAGTAGTGGTGGGTGGAGGAGAGCTGCTTAGGAGCACATGCACAGCACTGAGGGGAGGGTCCCCAGGCATTCCCTGGGGTCTGCATGTGTGAGCTCCAGGTAGCAGCATTCCCATGGTCCGCATGTGTGAGCATGCCACTCATTCCCCCATTTGGGATGGAAAAGCAAGTCAGTCCAATTGTAAGAGGATGCTAAATTTCGAGGAGTAAAGTTTAGCCTACGAACAAGGGAGGAGAGAGGAGGCTCTCATGTGTGTCTGGAGCAGAGGCATATCACCAAGGTCAGATTTCAGTACGTAGGAGCAAAGGAGACTAGGCGATACGGTGCCCCACTGCTGCCTGGGTCTTAGGACTTCAAATGAGACCAGCTGTAAAGATCCCTAGTTGGGCCCTTCTTGTGAAGCTGAGGGGCTGAGGCCAGAGAGAAGAGGGTCAAGCATGGGTCCCAAAGCGAATGGGAGGCTGCATCAGGACCAGAACCCTGTTCTCTTGACACCCAGCCCAATGTCCTCTCATGTCCTGGAGGAAAACGAAGAGTCATAGTTCAAGAAAGGCCATTTGAGAATGCAGTAAGAGGTCACTGGCTCAGTTTTGGGGCTGGGATGGAGGGGGAAGAGCTCCCTTTTCTGAGAGCTCAGAGACAGGATGATGACAAGGGCAGCTGTGCCCAGAAATGGGGGCAGGCCTGCACAGTGAGGCTGTTTCTCTAGGAGACTGCTCAAGCCCAGGAGGAAGTAGGAATGGGGTGGTGCCTCACCTGGTGGTACCCTGTGCAGGTGACAAGCTTCTGAGACTCGGGGAGGAACTGTATGTCTTGGTCCCAGATGGGAACCCGCAGGTCAAGCCAGTCATTCCGAACCTGGTGGGGTGGGCAGACGGGGACAGGGTTGTGGGGGGCTCAGTGTGCCCCTTCCTTCAGCCCATCATTATCATCCCCTAAGGCTCACCTGGTTTCTGACTCATAGTCAGCGGCCTCGGCCTTCCTGGACCGCAGCCCCACCGCCCCCTCCCCACCCCTGTCACTCACATTCTTGGCCTTGAACACAGGCTCCTCAGACCCCTGCAGGTCCCACACCTTCAAAGCATTCTCCTTCCCACCCGTGGCAACCACGTGGAGGTGCGTTGGGTCTTGGCGCATCCTACACACCCCAGGGCCCACTCTAAGGTCCAGGAGCTGAAAAGAGTGGGAGGCGAGAGTGGGGCTGAGAGTCCGTTCCAGGCCTTACTCCTCCTCCCCAAAGCCCTTGCTCAGCTCCTACCCTGGCCCCTACTTTCCCAACCACCAGGATCAGAGCAGGGGAGCCTCACTGGGTCAGAGAATGCCTCCTTGTCATCATCACGCCAGACTCGGAGAATGCCAGACTCCACACACGTGATGAGGGTGCTGCAGGCAGAGGGTGGAGAGAATCAGGTAAAAAAACCCATTAAGTGTAAGTGTTCTTGGCTTATGCATTCATATTCACTAGACTCCCTCCTACCAACCCCATTCCTAAGGAAGCCTATAGGTAATTCAGGTCTTGGCAGGGCTTGCCAACTTCTAACCTCCCTGTTACTTCATTTCCTTAACAGGGTGAGGGCTTACTCATTTTCTAAGTGAGGAAACTGAAGCTCTGAGAAATTAAAAAATTTTCCCACACAGCTATAAATGTCAGAACCTGAACTGGGAATCAAGTCTGGAATACTCCAGAGCAGAGTGCCTTTGCTATTCCATAGCTGTGGGGCGGGGGCACCTGGCCTTGCTGGTCTTTCTGAATGTTGAGTTAGTCACCAAAGGTCAGGATGAGTAGGTCTGAAGAGACTGAAATGGACTTGTCTGGATGTAGGGTTTGGCCAAAGTCAAAGACCAGCTTTTCTCAAGTTCCCTGTTCTGGGTTCCAGATGTTAAATGTCAGTATCTCCCACAAAGTACCCATGCCTCCCATGAAACCGAAGCAAGTCTCTCCCCAGGATCTGTAGAGCTGGAGCCTATGTTCTTTCTCATATCTGCCCACCCTCCCCACCTTGGTTCAGGGTCTGTATTGCTTGCCTGAGCTGTGGCAAGCCTCCCAACTGCCCTATGATCCGTCCTCCACACTCCTACGGGCTTACAGCTCTGACCACAGCATTTTCTGCTCAAAAACCAGGAACTCCCCACCACCTACGAAACAAAAGTGCCAATCTCTCAGGCTTGCACTCAAAGCCCTTTACATTTAATCCCAAGGTACCTTGCCCATCTTGTGTTAATGCTTCCTTGGCTTCAATTCCCAAATTCTATTTATCTTTTCTGAAATGTATACTGTAGCCTGACACCATTCCTTGGCCAGCAGCCTTTCTAGAATGTCCTTACTCCTTTCTCCACCTATCAAAATTCTACCCATTCTTCAAGGCCCAGTTCCAATGTCTCACCCCCACAGCACCTCACCTGTCAGAATTAACACCACTAAACCTACCCAGCCTGTTCACAGCCTTCTCTTCATCTTTAGAAGAAAGCTAGGCCAATAACCTAACCACTAGCACTTTCCCGTCCTTTACTTTGGATACCTTGTTGGTGGTTGTTAGCCCCATTTTACAACATGCCATAAACTATTAAATGACTTGTTCAGCGTCAACAAAAGGGTCATGGAACCAGGAGACAAACTCTCGAGGATACAAACTCTATGAAGGCTGCTACTGTGTGTGTCTGATTTACCCCCAGCGCTTGCATTTCACCCAACGCCTGTGCCTCGGTAGGTATTCAGTAAATGCTTGTTATAGGCAGGACACATGTCCCTGTCAAGCAGGCCCTAGTAACTTAAGGATTGATCGCCATTATTCGGCCGTCCTGCAGGAGCCTCTACACTCTTCCTACAAACTGAGTGTCCAGCGAGGAGCTCGGTCTTCTTACCCGTCGACCTGGGCGAGGCCTCGAAACGTGCCCTCCCCTCCGGGGCAGTGCCTCTGACCCTGGAATCTGCCCTCCTCCGTGCTGAAGTGCCTCACTATCCCGTCGGCGCAGCCCACCAGGATCTATGGCAGAAAAGGGCAGAAGAGAGCGAGGTTGCTGCACCCCGGCCCCCAGGTCCCGCCTGTTCAGCTGCAGCTCACCTGAGTCTCGCCGCCCGCGCCCCAGCACAGGGTGGTCACCGCCTCCTCGCGCCGCGGCTGTCCGGCCGCCGTGAAGTTTGCTGCCTGTTTGCGCTGAAGGTTCACCCCTGCGGGACGCGGGCGTTAGTCGCGCTAGGGTCCCTGGAGGGCGACTCCCGCACTTCCCGAGGCCCGGCCCCGCCACCCACCTTTCAGGATCCCAGTGTCACTGCCGACCCACACATGGTTCCAGCGTGCCCCAGCAGCCGCCATACCCGAGCCCCGGAGCCCACTTCCGGCTCAGTGCTTACGTCAACAGAGCGCGCCGAGTTCCACCCCCGCCGACCTCCCCGGGTGAATTCCATTTCAGGGACTTCAAAGAGCTGGAGGAAAAGATCCCTCGCCTGCTCCGGTTGGTTTTGCGTTGCTAAAACGAAATCAGGAGATAACTTGTTTGTTGAGAGCTTAAGAGTAGCTTGGGCATTTTACACTTGGAGTGGTACGCATCCTAACTTGACCGCGATGCCCGGTCGAGCCAGCCCTAGTCCGTGTCCCTGCTCCAAAGCATCCTGTAATGTTTTCTGTACAATAGCCCGCTTCAGAAACGACTCCGATCACTAATGTGGCTCATGGCTTCAGCCGAGACGAGAAGAGACAAAAAGGAAGAAGACGAGGGAAAATGAAACTGATGATTTTGATTTTAAAACACCTCTGTTTTGGAAAGAGGAGGTAAGGGGCGTCGTTTTTATTTTCTCACATTGAGGTTTGGTGATGGTAAAAATTAGCTCCAACTGAGAGTGAAAATCTGCAAAATAAACACAGTATTTCTCCCAAAGATGAGATGCTGCTTTTGAAAATGTCATAACGGCCTTCTTTGTTGAATAACTCATAATTTCTCACCAAGAAATTTTGTTCTCTGAAATTAGAGACCATCAGAAATCAAAGTTTGAAATAATTTAAGGAAGAATAAAGCATCATCCTGCCTGGCGGATCTAAATTCTCCACAGAGAAGCGGCCTCGGCTTCCAATAAGAATTCTTAGCATAATATTCCACATTTATCTTAACCTTGATGTATTTCCAAGGAAACAGCAGCCTGGGTCCGCTTCACAGTCCCAACCTGATGTTGACCGCTTTGCACACAACCCTACTTTGTATTGAGCCTATCAGACCACTATGTAAACCAAATTAAACCTGAAACTCCATCTTTCCCTAAAATCCTCTACCTTCCGTTTTTGTGAGACGTCCCCGCCATGACTGCTGGGCAGTTTCCCATATTGTAACGTTGGGGTTAACCCGGTGGGTCTCTAGTAGATCATGCCCCCTGTTTAGTGTAACATTAACTAAGAAAGGTTAAAGGTTTCCTTGGTAATTAACACCAAACGGTGTGCAGAGCAGAAGACGAAGCTACTATTGCAGCTCTCAGTTCCTGAAGTTCTCTCAAAAACCGTGAAGATGCTCAGATGAATACCGTGTTAAAACTGAAACAAACCCGGCTGTCCGTCAGTGCCAATATCCTATTATTTTGCACGACCCCAAAGATGTAGATCAGTTCATAAATAAAGCCCCCACAGAATACAGTAAGTACAGATCAAGATCAAAACCTCTAGCAATACGTAACTCACTGAGCGACGCATTAAATAAATTTTACAGCGTGAGTTACTTGGTAAAATGCTCGCTGCTTTATAAAATTAAATTTCACTTTTGAAAGCTTATTTTTCAACCGTAATTTTCCCCTTGGGAGGGGTGCACCGTTCCTGGAAGTACTGCAATACCAGGTCGATGCGTGGAGTGGACGGAGCAAGCTCCTATTCCATCTCCTGATTCCAAAAATCCATTTAATATATTGTCCTCGGATAGAGGACGTATCAGATATTAAACTGATAAGAACAGATACTACACTTGATCTTAGCCAAAAGGCCGAGAAGCGATACCACCGTTTCTGCCTCCAGGTCAGCCTTGCTCTTACTATACCTTTTACAATTGTGGTGACTTTTATGGTATAATGAATAGATTATATTCAATAGCAATGTTTCTTAAATTAAATTTCTCATTATTTTTGCTCATGATAATAGCTACAGATTCTTGAAATCAAACTTAAAAAGGGTTCTTTACTGCCTCGCCTTCCAGCTGAGGCTCGGTTTGTTTTGCATAAGCCCTCCCCTTCTCGGGATTGGTCTACGCACTTGCGGTTGACGTAACAGCCACCTAACCCAATCTGCACTTGCCGTTTGTACTGTCCCATCGCCCACCGTGTAGCTAAAATTTAAGCAAAACAGTTCTTTTATAGGCTCAAAGCAAAGCCCGGCAGTATGAAAGGGCCTGATGTCGGGTCCGGGCTGAGCAGGGATTTGAGGTCTTGTTTCCTTGGTAACCATATTAATATACACGTGGAACGTTCTGTTCCAAATCCCCTTATTGAAGCTCTATACCTCGGTTGGAAACAGGCGGTGTCTTATCTATCAAAGCGACTGTCTGACTGAGATCCTTCAGCCAAGAATGGGATGTTCCATTCTACTGATAAGATTTCAACTAGCTAAATTTATGATAATCTGTGATTTTAGAGAACAAGGCGCTTGTCAGTGTGTCCCTGGTGCTAATAAACAGGAGCAGTATTTGCTTCTGCAGCACATAAACTAAACCTGGACCAATACAGAAATTAGCATGGCCTGTATGCAAGGATAACACACCAGTTAATGGAACATTCCATATTTAAAAATAAACAGAAGCAATTTCTACAGGTTCCCTTAAGTAAACCCAGAGCCTCCAGGGAGGGCCCGAATTAAGGGGGTGTGCTTTGCAGAATAATGCCCCCCTCAAAAATGTCCATTGTCCTATTCTACATGTGTTGGCTTACATGGCAAAAGGACTTTGCACATACAATTGAAGTAAGGATTCTGAGAAGGGGAGTTTATCCTGGATAGTCTGGTGGGCCCTTTATAATCACGAAGGTTCTTATAAGGGATAGGAGGAGGCAGGAGGCTCAGTGTCAGAGTGATGACATGAGAAAGATTTGAAGAGCTATTGCTGGCTTTGAAGATGCAAAAGGGTCATCAGCCAAGGGATGTGGGCGGCCTCTAGAAGCTGCAGGCAAGGAAACAGGTTCTCCTTTAAAACCTCTGGAAAGGAATGCAGCCCTGCAACACAGCTTGATTTTAGCCTAGTGAGATGCATTTTGGGTATCTGCCCTCCAGAACTGTCAGATAAACTTGTGTTAAGCACTGAATCTCTGGTAATTTTAACAACAGCAATAATAAATACCAGGGTAAAAGCCAAATTTAGTTTCTTTCAATCTCAGCCTTCCCCCAAATCTGCAAGCCCCCCACGTGGCTGTCTTGTCCCAGGTTACCACCAGGTGCCCCAGGGCACAGATCTCCTTGGTAGGCAGTTCACAGCTGGGGCTGCGCAGTTGGCAGTAGCCTGTTCCTCCTCAGAAGCAAGGCAAGCAGGGAGTGGTGCCTTCTCTCAATATAGTCACCCCTGTGTCTTCCTGCACGGGTACAGGAGGCTGATAGTGAGGGCCCATCCGGAACTTGTAAATACATTTGTTCCATGGAAGGCCATGTGTCCATTTGTTTATGATTACTGAGCAGACTCTCTGCAGTGGTAAAATCATACATGGATTTGTCTTGCCTTATCACAGTCTGTTGTGAGAAACTGGGAGGTTTCTGTGATCCTCTAGGCAAAACATGAAATCACTGGTTTTGATGACAGGCAGTGAGTGAGGCCAAAGGAAGAATATTTTTTCTGTGTGGGTATATTTTAAACAATTTAATGTTTTATTTTCATGAAACATACATATAAATGGTCACATATTGTTCAAAGACTCACAACCCCATTTTATACCCCCCTTTTAACTTTTGATGGTACTTTCCTCCATAAACTGAGTATTTTAGACTTATTTCTTTTGCTATTTCTAAAAGGAAGATGTTACAAAAACCAGCACAATATGGAGCAGCTCAAAGAAATGCCTAGTTGACTTGAAGAGGTTTTACATTTTTATGGTATTCTCCAATCTGTTGTTCTCCGCAAATAAGTGTGTGGTTGCCTTACACAATTTTGCATGCATCTCTGGGAGGATTCTGAGAGCCTCCTGAAGCCCATTCATTAACCTACAGGTTAGCAAGTACAGCCCTGAAGAGACAAGAGCACCTGACTAAAGGTATCCAAGCACCAAGAAAGGCCACCGCACGTGGAGAAGCAGGTTCAGGAGGCCCTGGAGGTCCTGTGGGAGGCCCATCAAAGGGCTGTCCAGGGGAGCACTGGCTCCAGCACTTTAGACTGGGCCCACTTTCCCTCAAGCCAACTCCAGGTTACAGTAGGGCAGTTCCTGGAAAAGAGGAACCCATTCTCCTCTTAGCCACCCATTCCTCCTTGCCAATTTGTATTAGCTCCCTGGCTCACTGAGAATGTGAACTTATATACTCTTCTGAAATGAAGGTTTTCCCTCCCATCCACCTTCTGGTGATGACTGATCTATCTGCAGCCCGACCGGTTGGTGGGGTGAGGCACCATTCCAGGTGCTTTATATGTGTTATATGCTATATATGTATTGTATATGTATTAACAACCTTACGAGTTAAGAAGATTCATCTTCCCTCTTTCACAGATAAGGAAACTGAGGCATAGCAGGACTGGTGATTTTCTTAAGGTCACACAGTAAGTGGCAGTCAGATTCCAAACTCAGGCAACCTGGCTTTGGAGCAAACATTCCTAAACCCTATGCCATACCGCCGGTGTTTGACTCGCCTTGGATATCAAGGAGGCATCTCAAACTCAGTATTTCCAAAGTGATCCCCACCTGTCCCACCAGACCATTGTTCGCACACACTTTACCTCCCCGCCTCCCCTCCATCAGCCTATCTGCTGCTCTTACCTCCCACACACATATTGAATGGCTCCATTTCATTCCATCCGCTGCTTACTAAGCCCCGATGCTCCTGCCTCCAGACCTCCCCATCTTCTTTCTGGTCTCAGCTCAAATGCCACTTCCTCAGAGATGCCTTCCCTGAATACTTCTTTAAAACAGATTCTTGTACTTTGCCAGCATTTATCATATATCTCAGAGAGACTAAAACTCAGCACTACTGACATTTTGACATCTGGGCTGGGTAATTCATTGGGGAGTGGGGAGATGGAGCTGTCCTGTACATTCTAGGGTGCTTAGCAGCTTTCGTGGCCTCTACCCACTAGGCGCTAGTAGGATACCACTACTGTCACTCCTTCCCACCCCCACGCCAAAGCTGTGACGACCAAAATGTCGCCAGGTGTTGCTAAATGTCTCCTGGGGGGCAAAAGCACCCCTGGTTGAGAACCACTGTCTATTTCATATTTATTGGTGGTCTTACTTTGCCTGTCTCTTTTCCTCTAGAATGTAACCGAACAGCAGTCAACAAAGTCCAGATTTTACATGGAATTGCTAGGGTTTGGTGGGGGGCAGCCTGCACGTTAACCATGCAGATTTGAACCTCCAGGACTAGAAACCACATAACCACTCTGAAGATTAAAAACTTTTGCCCAAACCATACACATACCCACACCCGCCTCCCATGCAGTGCCACTGCTCTTAATCTCCATGGTCTTCATTCCCAAAAGTAAACATGTGAAAACACTACGTTGGGTTATCTGTGAGGCGAGGTGACTCATCTGGATGAGGCTGTAAATTCTCAAATACCCATTCGCATCTTACTTGAACTCCACTTCATTTATTAATGGCCTATAATGTGTAGAGGTGGATACTCAATGCAAATTGTATTTATTCAAAAATGTTCCCCAAGCAATCTGCCAGATGTCTTTCAACATGCAGCTATTGGGTGGACAGAAGTTCATTTCCCGGGAAAGAACAAGTGGTAGGAGATAAATGTAGGACTGTCACTCAAGTCATTCTATTTACACCATTAGTTGACAGTGAGTGGTCAAGGTAGGCCTCTCAGCATTGACTTGAAAAGGGCTGTTACCCCACATGGAAGAACCCAAAGAATTACAGAGGAAGAATGGAGACCTGGAGGCTTGTTGGAGGAACTGAAATTCAATGTAACTGTAATGAGATTGAAGTGCAGGTAAATTGAGACCAATCAGCAAGAGTGTAGTTTATGCTCTATAAATGGAAAAATTACATGGTGCTATGGTAAGGTGGGAAAGTCCAATTTAAAGGACTGTAAATTTAGGTAACTTATAGGGCTCATTTCAGCAGCAGACACTGAAATTGGAGATATTAACATGGCCTCTGCACAAGGATAACATGTAAACTTGTGAAGTGGTCCATGTTTTTGATAAGAGGAATAAAGGGGCACAAAAACCTTAACCAGTGTAAGCTGGCCATGGGGATGGTAGGGCAGTATGAATAAAGCTAATAGTCCTGTAACACTTATGTTGACAGTACCTGTACTAGAGGGGGTGGGGATTTAATGTGACTGTCAAAAGTGTGCTGTATCATTCGGCGGCTAACATGGTGACTCTTACCAGATTGAATCAGCGACTCCATGATGGAGAAATCATATGCCCAACTGGGTATATTGTGGCAGTTACTTCTGAATTTGGTCGTAGGCTAATCCCACAAAAAGGGAACTTAAAAGTCCACAGACACCATGTTCAAAGTTCATGTGCAGAAAGGGAAGCAGACCACCAAAATCTGACACAGCCCATCTTTATTTAGTCTAAGGGATCCTTAACTGGCACTCCTCATTGGCTCCCACTGCCTTTCTCCAAGTCTGTTTAAAGCACAGCTGGAGGTCACCCAAACCCAGCACACCTTTCATGCAGAACACCGTAGGTGCGGCGTAGATAGATCAAAACTCTTCAAAGACCTAATGATGCTTCCTGAGTAATACCTGCCTAGGCCACCATCTAGCTTTACATATACTACCACACTAGGTTGGGCAGAGCTAGTAACACTAAATTCTCCAGGGTTATTGCCTTCTGCCCAGCCAGACCCACTCAAACACACGACTCACAGTGAAGGGGGAAAAAAATGTTTATTTAGAAAGGCTGAAATGATCGTATCATAATCTGAACAGCTAGGCTTCTAAGAAATGACTTAAAAATATGTTTTTATATCCATGCATAGCTGGATTCCTGTACAAAAAGGGAATTGTTTTCTTACTCTATGGACAATATATGCACTACACGCAGGTTTACAAAGTGCTTCCCCCCCCCTTTATACCAGTTACCATTAAAGAACTAGGAACACATAGTTCTATGGATCTAGGTCAATTCGTTAAATACTAGGCACCAACACTGGAATAGACACCTACCCATTAGACATGCTTTGCTCTTTCTTCAGACCTGGAAAAAAAGCAACAGATTTCTCAGCAAGTGGTTCATTCCTCCCTTTCCTATATTCAGCACCCCCTTCTGATCCCTCAGACAGTTCCTTCTGGAACAAACTTTCCTCTCCTCCCCCAGCCAGTCCCAGTGGGTTCGCCTTTGCAGGCTCTGGGACTAGAACAGGAGGTAAGACATGTGAACATTTCTTCACCGGGAAGTTTTAACTTGGTCAACTTGTATTTGACTTTACTCACCCGTAGCTTGAGGATGGAGCTGACCCGAAGTATGGCTTGGTTTCCCTACAAAGGAATAATCGGGAACTAAGTTTCTGTGACTCCCAGGAGTCACTGGTATTTGGAGGTAAGGTACATTTGTACAGGTTTCAGCACATACAGAAACCACCAGCTAGTCCAAAAAAACCTTCCTAATGCCTGATGAGTACCTCAAAAAGACTTCCTGTCATTGTCACCTTCTACTTCAAGGCAAACTCACAGCTCAGAAAATACCTTTCAGTCACAGTGATCAGACTGGGGCGGTACTGAATTCATCATTGCTAAGTGGGAACTTGTCACAGGTGGCTTAGTAGTGGCCAGAGACAGATGACTTTGATCAAGCCATTATCTTTTCATAGCTATCCAGGCCAAACTAAATTGACAACAGTGTTGTAAAGGTTATTTACCTGAAATCATTCTTGGGCTCCAGACAAAGTGCTGGATCTGAAATAAACAAGACAGAGTTAGTAATGTTTACCACCTGCATTAAAAACTGCTCCTACCTAAACCAACATTCTCGGGAAAATCAGATTTCTGAGTCTCAACAGCAAGTAATCAGCCGAACGAGATTCAATGTTAAGTCATCATGTACAGGCCCCAAGACTTCTATCCAATATGCTGCATGCACCACATATAGAAGTCACTCACCATTAAGCAAACAAGCAGGTGACCAGTCACGGTGCCTAGGGAAAGACAACGTCGTGGGTGTCAAGCACTTCTTAAACATAGCAACCCACCACTCGTCTTCTCCAGTTTCTCAGGTGTTCACTTGTTTTCATTTGTAAGTCATAGTGAGCTAGTGTGATTCATCACAGAAACTGCCTACTTGGTGGCATCAACCAGACATGAATCAACTAACCTTTCAATTCCAGAAGTTTGTCAGTAGCGTACAGAAACAAGCTGCTCCTGCATGAGAGGATCATGTGCTCAGTTGAGTACTTAAAACAGCTGAAACTCTTCTCACTATAGGTAATGGTTAAGTCAAGAAAAGCTAAGCATAATGCCGATAGATAGCACTTGCTGTACACCTCAGACAGTTCCTTATGGAACAAGTTCTCATCCTTTCTCCCAGTGAGCCCCAGTGGGTTCACCATTACTGGCTCTGGGGCTAAAACAGGGGTAAGACAGGATATTTGCTCTCTTCATTGGCATTGGACTCTGGGGCAAGCTATAACCAACAGAGTTTAAGTACTCACTGTCAACTCTTTCCAGTTCAACCCTGGGCAGATCAATGGGCATCTAGGAGAAATCAGATTAAGAAACATAATGATAAGTTAACAAGAGGGACCAGAAAGCTATATGGGTCAATCGAGTATCTTGTAACAAGAAAAACCAGCCACCAAACAACACTCAAGCCAAACAGAAAAAAACTAAAAACCCAACCCTAAGCAAAAACAAAATCACCAAGATAACAAAACCATCCTTTGGACAATGAGTTCACACATATGCTAATTGATCAGTATTGGGAGAAGCAACTTACTCTAAGAAAGATGTGTACACTGTCGTCAGGACAACCTGCAAAAGTGGAACAAATAATCATTTAAAAATGTTGGGGCAGAATAAAATTTCTTAATTAGCAGAAACTGCCATCAGAACTCTAACATGCTATTAACTGTCGTCCCTCACAGAGGATCAGCATAATCAATTCAAATCATCTGACAGTGGCATATGGGCGGGAAGTTAGTTCTCAAAGGAACTAACTGAACTGCTGGGTTGCTCTCCCTCTCTAGGGGTATCATTCCAACAGGAACAAGCTGGAAGGAGCAAAAAGACAACGTTGGAGATACCACACCGCAGTCCCCCATTTTAACAATTACCTGTCTGTATTCACCCTGGAAAAGAGCTGGATTCCTCTGGATTGGTGATGAGATGCTGAGACAAAAAAGGGAGGCATTGTATGTACCTTAAGAATAGCCATTCAAAGACCCTTGAGTACAGCCCAACCGACTTCTCAGTGGTAAGATGACATCACTTCAAGCTCAGTCATATGCTTGTCATTTTATATTCATCATGGAGTGGCCAGGGCATTTTGCAATTCCAAAGCAACCAATTCCCATCTGTTACTGGGCAAATCATCGCGTACCCACCTGCGGCACCACTCTAACGCTGGGTTTGCACAAGGTGTCTTGTCCCGTCCTCCAAGGTGTAAACCCATTTGACCCGAACCACATCTGGGGGGAAAAAAACCGAAGAGCACCTTCCACTTAGTTTTATACCTTGCAGTCTAACACTAGCGCCCTAACGTCTCAGAAATAAATACCAGCATTCGATGTGGGACGGTACTACTCAGAATTTTAAGTTTTCTCCACTAATCCATCGGAAAGAGAGAGTTCAATTATTTTTATCATCCCCGCAGCACATCCCATAGCACCTCCCTACGGTTAACAGGGCAATAGTGGTAAAGGATGGCCTTGGGCACGTACTCCATAACGAGCGGGCTCCTCCCGACTCGCTGGCCTTCGGACGAGCGCCAGAACCCTGCAGGCAAGACGACATACATGGGTCAGCAATGGCCATTCTGCAAACGCTTAGTTTCCCGAGGCAGAGACTGCGTCAGACTTCTGCGATGCAAGGCCCGTCTCTTCAGAGTACGTTATCCTCACGGGGTTCAGCACAGGTCTGTGAAAAGGTTCTCATCACAGAGAGGGCCGCGCGCACGGCACGCCGCCGCCATTTTGTCATTTAGAGCTTCCTGGGGCTTCGAGGCGCCCAGGGCGAAATCTCCTACCCCCTCCAGCCCACACAAGTAGGTGTAACACAGAGGAAGGGTCCAGGTGCACCACGCTGACACGGTCACTTAAGGAAAAACCACGTACTACGCACAACACACTTACCTAACGCAGCGTCAAAAAATGAGGCCGAAGGCGCGCAGGTAGACACTTAAATACCATCTCGCAGAGGCCCACGGGATTTGAGGGCGTGACTATGTCGGGCGCAGACGCATAAGGAGAGGGCGTGCGAGCCTTGGGGGTTGTGGGTAGAGAATGCCTAGGAAGGCGGGTGACGAGTGCGCTTCCCCAGGAGCTGAGGCGCCAAAAAGACGCGCATGCGCGTCTTCCGTGCTGCGGCGAGGGGGTCTCTTCTGCGCGCTTCCTGTTTGACCAGGTAACTGAAGACTGTCTTTGCGCCGATCTTCCCTGACGCTCCTTCTCGATCGGCCGCTTGACCCCACACCCTTTCCGAGTCTCCCTTGCCCACACACATCCCAAGCCCGCGTGCAGGGTACGCCTCCATGGATCCCCAAACTCCTGAAGCCTCCACTGGCATCGTCTTGATTCCCCGCCAGCCATCCAGTGCGCATTCCGGGCCTGGTGCTCAGGGTCCCGGCGCAGGAGGTGACTCAGGTACCGGGGCTCGGGCTGAGCTTGGGTGGAGGTCCTTTGTATGGAGCTACGTCGGGAACGTGAATCAAACCGTAGGTGCCCCACCTGAGTCTTTTGATAGAGCTTGATTTTTGACTGGCCACCTTGGTACAGCTTTCTGATTCCATTTTTAACAGCTTGGTTACTAGAAGGGCTAACGCTAGCTAACATTTGAAACACGGTTTTAAGTATACTAAGTGAATTGGTTCCTGTAGTCCTGCAGAATCCCAAGAGGTAGAGTGAGGTACATGAACTGCCTCCATTATACAGATGAGGGGCCCTAAGGTGTAAAGAGCTCCTGTCAGGGTGATTCCAGTCGCTTCTAGGCTGTTAATGACCCACTATCATTATTAGTCCATTAGTCGTCTGTGGTAAACACCTCGTGTACTTGCACGTATAGTGAACATTTACAAATGTCAACGAAAAGAAAATGCTAGGGTGAAACTCCAGAAAAGAGTTACTAGAGTTTTATTTGAGCCTAGGTTTAGGACAGCTACCCAGAAAACAGTCCTTCGGAAGAAGAAAAGTATTCTGTAGAGGAGAGCTTTCCCAAGGTT